TGCTTCTACAAGGCGGACAGGTGTCGGGCCAACATGACGGGGCACGCGACCTGGGCGGTGAGGGGTGTGAGGAAGCTTGAGGGGGTGTCCCCCTGTGAGGGGGGCCAGCGGGAGGATCTGGAGGCAACCTCTGAGTGAGGTGGACTAGGGAAGGGACCAGGAGACCCCGGGTACGAGGGCTTGAGCCGGCAGCTGCGCCCCTCGCTGCAGTCACGGGGTGCCCTCCTTCCTCCCCGACATGGCCTGCCTGCACCTGCACCCACCCCAGACAGGGCCTCGGGGGACTTGTCAGCGTGGCTGTTTTGTGGGCTGGGGTTTTCACCTGAAATGGACCAACCCGTGTGGGACGCCCCCAGCCTCGGCCTGCTCCGGATCCCTGTGGGCAGACCCGGGCTGTTCACCCCACCAGGCAGGAGGCAGGGGAGCACGCCGCCCCACCACGCAGTCTGCAGGTTGCCCCCGAGCCACGTGGCCCCACAGGCATTGCCCACCACAGGTTCCCGTTCGCAGGCCTGGCGCACCACCGGAGACAGCAGCGGGCAAGGGGTCCCTGCCTGTTGTTTGTTTGTTTTTATTGGAAAAGAGGAGAGACACAGAGGAAGATCCGTCCAATGGTTCACTCCCCAAGTGGTCTCAGTGGCCGGAGCTGAGCCAATCCGAAGCCAGGAGCCTTTTCCAGGTCTCCCACGCGGGTGCAGGGTCCCAAGGCTTTGGGCCGTCCTCCACAGCTTGCCCAGGCCACAGGCAGGGAGCTGGATGGGAAGCGGAACTGCCGGGACCCATATGGGATCCTGGGTGTGTAAGGTGAGGACTTTAGCTGCTAGGCTATCACACCGGGCCCAAACTTGGAGTTTTCATAGAAACATAAGGATGAGGAGGCTGGCTGACCCCATGAGGTGGCCAGGCTTCCTGGCCCAGCCCCGACTCCGGCGTCTTGTCCATCCAGACCCTGGCGGGCAGCAGAACTGGGTTCCCAGCTTCCCCTGGCCCAGTCCTGGCCATCTCGGATGCATCTGCCTTGAAACTGGGGCGGCTCCAAGCCAGGGCCTTCGAGGCCTAGGAACTGAGCCCAGTGGCAGACCCGGCCTGGGGGTGCTCCGAGGAGCCCCCAGGGAGGCAGTGTAGCGGACGGCCATGAGAGCGAGGGCTGAGACAGCTGTCCAGGAAGAGAAGCCCCCACGCGCCTCGGCCTGTGGCCTCCCTGCCCCTCTGCCATCTTGGGGACAGTAGCACCCAGGGCTGCCTGTGTCCCTGCCATGCCCACTGCCCCTGGTCAGTCATGCAGGCCGCATCCTCAGCCTTCTGTTTCGGCAGAGTCCCCCCAGCTCTCGGACCAGGCAGCACTTGGGTCCTGAGGGGCCTCTGCTCCCGTCGCCCCCGGCCGGCCTGGTGGGGAAGGCAGGCCCACGAGGCCCGGGCCAGCTGCAAGCTGTGCCCTCTGGCTCTCTGATTCTGGACAGGGGCCCACGTCTGAGCTGCCAGCCTCAGGCGGGGCCGCTGCTGTGCATGGTGGCTGGCTCGGGGGGCCCGTGGGAGGAGGGGCCGCGGTGCCTGGCGTGGTGTGGCGGGGGTCCCGGGACTCGGGGGGGCGTCCTGATACGTGGTAGGAAGTTCTGGCCAGGCCGGACGTCTCCCTCCCACCTCTTGCTTACACAAGTGGGTGGCGGCTCCTGTCAGCTCACAAATATTTACCCCAAACCTGGAGCAGACGGGCTCCACCTTCCGGCTTGACGCGACCCCCTGGGCGGAGGCGCCAGGGCAGGGCGGAGCACACACAGGGCTCTCGGTGGCCGTGTCCTGGCCCCTGCTGCCCCACTCCTAGTCTGGACACTTGCAGGCTGCCCTGGCCGTGTCCGCGCAGCTTTCCTCGCCACGTAACAGTCAAGGGACCAATGGTGACGTGTGCTGATGGTGGTGGGGACCACAGAGGGCTCCCAGGCCAGGCCCGCTGAGGGCAGGCAGCTCCTGTTGCTGCTGCTGCTCGGTGCTCACCAGGGCGGCCTGTCCAGAATGGGGTGCGTCCTGCCAGTGGACACCTCCCCTGACCCAGATGTGGCTCTTGGGTGACTTGACCCATATCCCGTCAGCCACAGCATCGGCACCCTGCCTTCTGCCCCGTCTCCATCCCTCATGTCCCCACGTGTGGAGTGAGGAGCTGCTGGTGTCGTGCACTGGGACAGCTCCTGAGTCCTACCTCTCGGCCTCCCGGTCCCTTGAAGCCCACATGAGCGCTCAGCTGTGTGTGTGTGTGTGAGAGAGAGAGAGAGAGAGAGAGAGAGACACAGAAGATCCTCCGTCCGATGATTCACTCCCCAAGTGAGCGCAAGGGCCGGTGCTATGCCGATCCGAAGCCAGGAGCCTCTTCCAGGTCTCCCACGCGGGTGCAGGGTCCCAAAGCTTTGGGCCGTCCTCGACTGCTTTCCCAGGCCACAAGCAGGGAGCTGGATGGGAAGCGGGGCTGCCAGGATTAAAACTGGCACCCCTATGGGATCCCGGGTGTGCAAGGCGAGGACCTTAACCACTGCGCCACCGCGCCGGGCCCCCTCAGCTTATGTTCTTAGCTCCCTGGCCGGCCAGAGGCCTCCCCTCCCACCCCTGTGGGCCCTCGGCATCCCTGTTACCCATTGTCGTGGCCAGTGCAGGTGCACACAGCGGGGTGTCCAGGGCAGACTGCTCCCAGCTCCGACCACAGGGTGCTGGGCCCGGACCCCTCCCTCAGCCCCCGGCCAGGGCCCAGTGTGCTCTGCCAGCACCCTGTGGGGACAGGAGTCTGTGCCTTGCCGACAGGTGCCCCAGCTGGGTCCCTGCCCCTGAGGGCTGGCAGCTCAGACGCTCACACAGGTATGTCGGCCGCCCGCTGATCTACAGGCCACCCCTGCCGATCCACGTCCTAAAGACTGAGCTTTCCTGCCTTGACAATCAAGTTTCAGGGTTGTCCCTTGGCAGGGCTGCTGCCCCCGCCACAAGGTGGCGCCACCGCCATGCCTGTGGGGCAAGGCAGCTGTGCCCAGGGCTGGGAAAGCTGGGGGACCCCAGGGTGGCTGTTCTGCCTGGGTCATGGCCTTGTCTGTTCCATGTGCCCTTCCCCACGTGTCCCAAGGTGGTCAGAACCTAGCAGGCGCCGGGCTTGAAAAACACCGCGTCCCAGCTTGGTCTCCGCCACTGATACTCCGTGCGTGAGCAGAGATCTGGCCGCCTGCGGGGTCTAGATCCTGCACGACTGGGCAGCCGGCTCCGTCATGCCTGGGGAGGGACCCGACACACCCCACGGGCTCCACACACAGGGCTCCCCGCCGGCCGCAGCTCCAGCTCTGTGGCCGGCTCTCCTGCCCAGTCCTGCAGGGGTCAGGGCAGCGGGCACCAACCCTCAGCGGAGACTGGTGAGAGAGGAATGCTGGGGGAGCCGTGACACGTGGGCTGCATCAGGCTGCTGCTCTCAGCTGGGCCCGGCACAGGTGTCCTCGTCGCCAGGTCTGGACCCTGTGGCCACAGCGGATCAGGTCCCCTGGGAGCCTGCTTTGAGACGCCCCATCCCTTCACCCTTACCCTCTTCTGGTCCCTGCTGGCCACGTGCTCCGCGGCCGGATGCACCCCCCCCCTCCCTTGCCTGGTGCAGGGGGAAGTAAGAGGCGCGCAGACCTGGGGAGCCAGGGCCCCGCACCCACATCCTTCCTGGACCGACTCTGCTCCCGAGGCGCGCTCGGCCCGGAAGGCACGGCTGTGTGCTCGCATGGGTGGCTCACTTTCTCCACGGCAGCACCCCCAGCTTTGGGTTTGCATGAGAAGTGAAACCTGCCCCCACCCCCGGGACCAAGGTGCAGCACCCCACGCCCCGAGGACAGGAGGGACGCCACGCGGCTCCGCCTCCTCTGCCCTGGGCCCAGCTGCTGCCCCACCAGGGGTACACGGGAAAGGACCCCGGCCTTGATGAGGGGCTGCCTCACCAGTGTCCCTGCCGCCCCCTCTTGTGTCCTGGGCCACTTGCTGCCCTTCTCGGGGCGTGGACGGCAGATGTGGGACACCCCGCAGGGCTGAGTGACCTGTGCCCCCCATCCACTGCCCAGAATGGCCCTGTGGAGGCTGTGACATGCCAGCTGGCCACCTGCCCTTCCCCACGGCGTGCTCGCCCTGTGGGACGTGCCGCGGGCCCCGCGGGGAAAGGGTTGCAGCCCGTCACTTGGGCCAGTCCTGCTCCCGGGTGACAGCCCAGCTTAGTCCAGTCACGGGACACCCAGGGCCAAGTAGGGAGCGTGCAGGTCCCCCAGCTACCTCCGTGACCCCCAAGCCCCACCTGGGTCCTCTCATTTCCTTCATACTCAGAGCCAACGTCCCTGGATATTTGGGGGTCATCTGTGTGCAGGGACACCTGGCAACCTGCCACTCTGCCTCCAGAGGTGGGGTGCTGACCGCCCCAGGCAGCCCGTCTATCAGACCCCACGGTGTGTCCCACCTGGGGAGGCCCTGTGCGTGGCTGGCCTCGTGGGGAACCGAGGTGGCTCTGCCTTCTTGGTTCCATTCCACCCCCCCCCATGGGGCAGGGGGGCCGTGCGCAGTCAGAGGGTGCTGCTGAGAAGCCTCTCCCAGGCTACCCCCTCCACCCCTGCAGAGAAGGGGCTGCTGGCTGCACTGGGGGCTCCGTCGGGACTGGCCCCCTGCTCCTGCGGCTGCTGAGGAGTCGACCCTAGGCACCAGGGCAGCCCCACTTGCGCCCTGCTGGCAGGGGACACAGCCACCACGGTTACCCAGGAGAGGAGAGGCAGAGGGCGAGCGCTTCCATCTGCGGCTCCCCTCGCCAGAGGGGTCCCACAGCCAGACCCAGGCCGCTCTTCGCCCAGGAGCTCCCAGTCTCTTGTGTGGGTGCACGGGGGTCCCAAGGGCGTTCACAGGAGCATGAGCGGGGAGCTGCATGGGAAGTGGAGCAGGCCGAGGCCTGGCAGGTGTTTTGGGGGGCTCTCTGCCTCCCTGGCTGGGGCTCACCACTTCCCCCCTCTTTCCTGCAGCTGGTCAGTGAGAAGGTTGGCGGCGCCGAGGGCACCAAGCTGGACGATGACTTCAAAGAGATGGAGAAGGTGAGGGGGCGGTGTGCCACGTGGGTTCTGCGGCACCGGTGGCTCGTGCCGCCTCTCCCCCAGCCCTGATGGGCAGCCGTGGGCACCCAGGGCTGGCCGTCAAGGAGTCGGGGCCCCAACACGCTGCTCTCCCCGCAGAAGGTGGACATTACCAGCAAGGCCGTGACGGAGGTGCTGGCCAGGACCATCGAGTACCTGCAGCCCAACCCAGGTAGGGCCGCGCCCTACAGGTGGGTCCTGCAGGACGGGGAGGGGCTGCGGGAGCTGGCCGGACCAGGGGCCCCTCCCGGTCCCTCTGAGCCGGCAGCCGAGTGCTGTGCTGCCTGCTGGGGCTTGCAGGGCCCCGGGTCACCTGGCCTCCCCTCTGTGGCTGATGGACACACAGCCCCACCTGCAAAGTGCACTCTGCAGCCAGCCAGGGGCACGCGTGGGAAGCAGGGGGCGCTGGGCTCTCGGAGGCCTCCACGGCACCTGCCCTGTCGCCACAGCCTCGCGGGCCAAGCTGACCATGCTCAACACGGTGTCCAAGATCCGGGGCCAGGTGAAGAACCCCGGCTACCCGCAGCCCGAGGGCCTCCTGGGCGAGTGCATGACCCGCCATGGCAAGGAGCTGGGCGGCGAGTCCAACTTCGGTGAGGGCACGGGACCTGGGGGGCGCGTGGCGCAGCCGGAACCTTGTCCAGCTGCCTCCCGCTGGGGTGGGTGGGCACGGCGAGGCTCCCCAGTGACACCCGCCCCCGGCCAGGTGATGCCCTGCTGGACGCGGGCGAGTCCATGAGGCGCCTGGCAGAGGTGAAGGACTCGCTGGACATCGAGGTCAAGCAGAACTTCATCGACCCGCTGCAGAACCTCTGCGACAAGGACCTGAAGGAGATCCAGGTGCCGGCCTGCCCTCCCCGGGGGCGGCAGCCCCTCCGCTGCCCGGGCGCCAGCGGGCCTGACGCACGCCCCTGCCCTTCCCCGCTGCAGCACCACCTGAAGAAACTGGAGGGCCGCCGCCTGGACTTCGACTACAAGAAGAAGCGGCAGGGCAAGATCGCCGACGAGGAGCTGCGCCAGGCGCTGGAGAAGTTCGAGGAGTCCAAGGAGGTGGCCGAGACGAGCATGCACAACCTGCTCGAGACCGACGTAGGCGCCGCGCCCGCCCGGGGTGGAGGGGCGGGGGCTCCCCGGGCCCGGCTCACCCCCAGGCTGCTGCCCGCAGGTGGAGCAGGTGAGCCAGCTCTCGGCCCTGGTGGACGCACAGCTGGACTACCACCGGCAGGCCGTGCAGATCCTGGACGAGCTGGCCGACAAGCTCAAGCGCAGGTGAGCCACGGTGCCCGCTGCGGGCATCTCGGGGTGGCCCTCGTCCTGCAGCTGGGGCCTGGCCGCTCAGGATCCCGCCCACCCCGCTGCAGGATGCGTGAGGCGTCTTCGCGCCCGAAGCGGGAATACAGGCCCAAGCCACGAGAGCCCTTGGAGCTCGGGGAGCCTGAGCAGTCCAACGGGGGCTTCCCCTGCGCCACGGCCCCCAAGATCACAGGTAACCCCAAACCCAGCCCTCGGCAGAGGGGGTGCCCGGGAGCGGGGCGTGGCCGCCCGCGTGAGCCGCCTCCGGCCTGGTCTTCCCGCAGCCTCGTCCTCCTTCCGCTCCTCAGACAACAAGCCCGTGCGGACCCCCAGCAGCAGGAGCATGCGTGAGTGTCCCCGCAGCCTGCCCGGACAGGCACCCTCCCCTCCCCTCCCCTCGGCGCGCACCCCGGGGCTGAGCCCGGCCTGGCAGTCACGCCCCCCGCCGCCTGCAGCGCCCCTGGACCAGCCGAGCTGCAAGGCCCTGTACGACTTCGAGCCCGAGAACGACGGCGAGCTGGGCTTCCGCGAGGGCGACCTCATCACGCTCACCAACCAGATCGACGAGAACTGGTACGAGGGCATGCTGCACGGCCAGTCCGGCTTCTTCCCACTCAGCTACGTGGAGGTGCTGGTGCCGCTGCCCCAGTGAGGCCCACGCCGGGGTGCCCGGGCCGCCGCGGGCCTGCCCACTCGGGGCCCACACGAAGGTGCTCTCAGAAACACTAAGGTTCCTCAGCCTCGAGGGACCGTGGACTCCGGGGCCAGCCTCTCCCCTCCCCACTGCTTCCCGGGGCCCTGACGGACAGGGTGACCGTGAGGTGAGACCCCCCGCCCCGGGCTTAGAACCCCTCCCTGCCCGTTGCTGGCAATGGGCCCCGGCCCCCACTCCCACGCGCCCCAGCCTTGCACAAGCTGCCTGCTAGCTTGGAGCAGCCCGTGTCCACCCAACCCCCCACCACAGGCTCCCCGAAACCAGCACCCACCTCGTTGAGCACCGCTCAGCTTTTTAACCACCCCCACCTCAGGGGCTCTGCCCCAGCACAGCCACCCACACCGGGACCATGCCCGCACAGCCACGGTCAGGCACCGAGGCCCTGCAGCCACGACCAAGGCAGGCAAGCTCACACACCCCGAGCTCTGCCCAGACCACCAGGGCCCCGACCCCTGCACCCACTCCCCTACAACCCGATGTAAGGGGCACCTGAGGGCCCCTAGCCGCCCCTACGCACCGGAACCAGTCACTGCACTCGTGGCTGGGGCGGAAAGATGTGCCCTGGTCTTTTTGTAAGAAAAAGTATTAAATGTTTCTTTCTACAGCCCCTTTGCCTTGTCCCATGCCCACCCAGCTTGCCTGCGCGCCCTGCAGCGGAGGGAGCCACGGATCAGGGTCCTGAGCTGCTTGCCTTGGTTTATTCTGGGGGCCTGGGCGCTCAGCTGCCTTGCCTCAGGATCCCGTGCACCTGATCCAGCACGTGGCCCAGGCCCTGCTCCGTGGGCGTCCGGCTGGCCAGCGAGATCTGAAACAAGCGGACCTGGCACCTCAGGCCTGTGTGTGCCAGAGCCTGGCAGCACGGGGGCTCCTGGGCACAGGGCGCCCTTCCTCACACTCCCCCACGCAGCGCAGGCAGCCACAGGGGGCTCTGTCACTCACCTTGAGCTTGTCGCGGTACGTGTGCTCCTGGCTCCAGGGCTCCTGGAACCGCACAAGGTCGGGGGCGCCCTTGTAGAACTCGGCCAGCAGCATCTGCAGGGTGGGAAGGACATGGGACCCCCATGGGCCACACAGTGGGGACCCTGCACGGCACATTCCAGGCCAAAGGAGCCCACTGGAGGGCAGGACTGGGCCTCTGGCAAAGCAGTGGCAGCCATGCCTCATGTGGGGTTGCCTGCCACCCTGCTTGCTGGCTGAAGGACGTGGGCCACGGTGGGGACACCCCATGCCCAGGAGGCCACAGCAGCGACGGCTCCGTGGCCAGGCCATCAGGTAACTCGGTCTCTCTCTGAAGTGACTGGTAGAGGGTTTACTCCCCAGATCAAGAACGTAACAGCAGCCCCCCAGGAGGGGCAGGCGGGCAGCTGATCTGTGCCCATGGGCGCCCCCTGAACCCCCACTGTGGGCCACCCACCCCCTCCTGACCAGCTCACCATCTCCTGGAGCACGTCACTGGTCAGAAAGCTGTCCTGCACGTAGGCCACCTCCACGTCCATGGGGATGCCGTAATCCCCAGGCCTTTGCTGGGGAAGCACGGGCCAGTGAGAGGCCGGGCCTGGCGCGTGGTGTCGGGACCCCCTCCACCCCGAGTTCTTCCTCCCAGAGGTGACCTCTGACCCTGGGGGGCATCACTCAGCTCAGGTTCCCACTTCTGACACTGGGCCCTGTGCGAGGCTCCCCGCCCCCAGCCCAGCACCCACCTACCTCGGGGGGAGGCATCACCCAGAAGGGCGAGATCTTGGACTCAGGCCCCGGGTTGCCAGCATAATAGGGAGCTGAAAGGGGGAGAGGACAGAGGTCCTTGGGGCTGGGACTGTACCCCCTGCCCAGAGCAGGGCCCCAGCCGCACCCCGGGGCTCACAGCAGAACAGGGCCCCAGCTGCACCCCGTCCACCCCGGGGCTCACAGCAGAACAGGGCCCCAGCTGCACCCCATCCACCCCGGGGCTCACAGCAGAGCAGGGCCCCAGCCGCACCCCGTCCACCCCGGGGCTCACAGCAGAGCAGGGCCCCAGCTGCACCCCATCCACCCCGGGGCTCACAGCAGAGCAGGGCCCCAGCTGCACCCCATCCACCCCGGGGCTCACAGCAGAGCAGGGCCCCAGCCGCACCCTGTCCACCCCGGGGCTCACAGCAGAGCAGGGCCCCGTCCACCCTGGGGCTCACAGCAGAGCAGGGCCCCGTCCACCCCAGGGCTCACAGCAGAGCAGGGCCAGGCAGGGCTGGAAGCCGTTGCTGGAAGCCTGCAGGCGCAGCTGGAAATCCATCTGGGAGTCGATGTCCTGCAGCGAGGGCACCGCCGGGCTGTGCGGGTGGCTGTGGTACCAGCCCACCAGCGCCAGGCCGCGCAGGAAGAGGCTCTGGTAGATCTGTGGGTTGGCAAAGGCTCTCAGCTGTGTCCCCGGCTCCGACACCACCCCATACACACCCCGAGTCCCCCCACGTCAGACTCCTGCACACTGCGGACACGGCCAAGTTCACAGGCGCTGAGCCTGGAAGCCACGCGGGGCAGGTGGGACACCGCGTTCCTAGGTGCCAGAGGCAGGGAAAGCCTGGCACGAGGGATGCCCAGAGGACACTCGGCCCAGGCCGGGGACCCTGCTGGGCGCCATGTTCCGGGCTCAGCACACCCGGGGGGGGGGATGGCATGCAACGGGAGGGGCAGCAGGCACTCACCTCCTCCTCGATGGTGGCAGCGTTGTCCGCGTCCCCGAGCCGGCTCCGGCAGGGGAAGGCCCTCAGCACCGTGAGCACTGCGGGGAGGAGTGGGGGGAACTGGATGCTGACCCTCATCCCCACCCGGCCCGGCCCTGGCCCCCACGCACACACACACACACGGCCTGGTCCTGACCCCCACGCACACACACATGGCCCGGCCCGGCCCTGACCCAGATACACACACACACGGCCCAGCCCTGGCCCCCATGCACACACACACACGGCCCGGCCCGGCCCTGACCCCCCACGCACACATGGCTCAGCCCGGCCCTGACCCGGACACGCACACGGCCCTGATCCCGGCCCGGTTCCGCCCCGCCCTGCAGCTCACTCTGCGTGTTGATGTCCCAGCGGCCGCCCAGGTAGCCCACGACCTCACTGCGCGTCAGGTGGCTGTGGAAGTCCTTAGGGTCAGGGGACGGGGAGAGCGGGTTAGCCTGCAGCGCAGGCGCCGGCCGCCTCCCTGCCTGTGCACGCTAAGCAAGCACCTGCTCCTGACGGGGGCCGAGCGTCCTGCCCCCCTCGGGCTGACGCTGAGCGGACCCCCCAGGCCTGGAAGCCATCCCTCACGTACACCACCCACGGGTGGAGGCGCACCGCTCACCAGCAGGAGCAGCACGTTGCTGGAAACGGCCACGTTGAAGGGCTGGAACTTGTTGATGGCTGCGAAGGACGTCACTTCCACCAGCGTGTGGGGGTTCCTGCAAGGCCCCCCACCACCACAGCCTCAGACACCCCTGCCCGTCACGGCCCCGGGCGCATGTCCCCACCCTGCTCCTCCTGGGGTGGGCACGGCTCACCTGGCCGAGTCCCGGCTGCCCAGCGTGCAGTAGTGGACCGGCACCCGCATCTTGCTGTCCACCTGCTTGCCGGGGGGCGTGGCCTCTGGAGGGTCAGGGGAGGAAAGAGGAAAAGGTGGACGCGTCACCCCAAGTCGGGAAGTCCAACAAGGAAGCGCAGTCGGGTTCCCGGGTCCCCGGAGGCAGGCCAGGGCCTCACCTGCTTCCCCGGGGCTCTTCCCCGGGGGTCTGCGACCCTTGTCCTCCGCCGAGACCCCCGCCAGCACCTCCTCCTCCTCTTCCTCCATCAGCAGCTCCTCCTCCTCCCCTTCACTGGCCGGACTCTGCCGGGGACACGGGACACAGCACCCTTCACTCCGCGGTCCCACAAGCCCGACGTTCCTCGGGTGTCCACGAGAGGGCGCGCGTGAGCAGCCGGTGTGCGCCCTCCAGTGGTCACCTGCCAGATTGCACCGTGCGTCGCCCTGAGCTCGCCCTTCCCGCGCCCTGCGCTCGCCCTTCCCCAGACCCGCGCACAGCAGCCCCACTGGGTGCCGTGGGGGCGCCCCGCTCTTCACTGGGACCCCTCCTTGCCAAGGTGGGCCGCACCCGACCTGGGCAGTCGGCAGCGTCTGCCCCCCACTTCTCGGGGAGTTCTGTCCTCACATGGATCCAGACTGGGCCCCCTCCAGCCCCCGGCACTGACCCACTGATACCTGGCCGTGTCTTCTCCCAAATCCAAACTTGGGGTCCAGCAGGGGCTGTCTCCTTAAATGTGTGCTTCCTGCACCCCACTGTGGTGGAAGGGAGCACCAGCCACCTGCTTGCTTACTCAGGACCCCAATATTTTTGGTCCCATCCCGAACCCCATCACACTCACTCCGTCTCTCCATGATTGCCTGCCTGCACTGGGGGGGGGGGCTTCCTGCACTGGGGGGGTCCTGCCTGCACTGGGGGGGAGGTCCTGCCTGCACTGGGGGTTCCTGCCTGCACTGGGGGGGTCCTGCCTGCACTGGGGGGGTCCTGCCTGCACTGGGGGTTCCCGCCTGCACTGGGGGGGAGGTCCTGCCTGCACTGGGGGTTCCTGCCTGCACTGGGGGGGTCCTGCCTGCACTGGGGGGGTCCTGCCTGCACTGGGGGGGTCCTGCCTGCACTGGGGGGAATCATGCCTGCACTGGGGGGGTCCTGCCTGCACGGGGGGGGGTCCTGCCTGCACGGGGGTCCTGCCTGCACGGGGGGGGGTCCTGCCTGCACTGGGGGGGTCCTGCCTGCACTGGGGGGGGATCATGCCTGCACTGGGGGGGGTCCTGCCTGCACTGGGGGGGTCGTGCCTGCCTGCACTGGGGGGGTCGTGCCTGCCTGCACTGGGGGGGTCGTGCCTGCCTGCACTGGGGGGGTCCTGCCTGCACTGGGGGGGTTGTGCCTGCCTGCACTGGGGGGGGTCGTGCCTGCCTGTACTGGGGGGGTCCTGCCTGCACTGGGGGTTCCCTGCACTGGGGGCATCCTGCCTGCACTGGGGGGTCCTGCCTGCACTGGGGGGATCATGCCTGCACTGGGGGGGGGGGGTCCTGCCTGCACTGGGGAGGTCCTGCCTGCACTGGGGGTTCCTGCCTGCACTGGGGGGCCCCTCACCCCGTCTGTGCTCCCTGCTGCAGCCCCCAGGGAGTGCCCGAATCGGGATGCCTCCAGGCTCAGCGCTCGCACGCAGCCCTCCTGGGCATCTCCCCCCAGCAGACCTCTCCCTGCCCAGCAGCCACGGGGATCGCCCAGGCTGCCCCTTCCCCACCTCAGACAGGCCAGCCCCAAGTGCATCTGTGGGACTCTCAAAGGCCCCTGGGGAGAAACAACCGAGTGGAGCTGAAACGAACAACTTGGCGATTTATCCATGCCAGGAGGGGTGCCCGGGGGCATGAATCCCTGTGTGTGTGGGAGCCTCCCGTCCCTGGAGAACGGGTCACCTCGGCACCTGCCACCTGCTCCTGATGGGACAGACCCCCCGTGCCGGGGCGCCCGCGGTCCACTCCCCACCCCAGCTGCTCGTGGTCCCTGCGAGGGAACAGTGAGGCCCAGGTAGCTCGGCCTCTGGCTTAGCTCCCGCTTCCTAACCCTCCCGCACGCAGTGTCGCACCTGGGGCTCCAACAGGGGCATGTGCACTCCTGGCCGCCGCCACCAGAGGGCGCTCAAGTCAGGACCCGTGGCTGCCCAGGGGCACCTGCCCGCCTCCTCCTGCCTCGCCCACCTGCCCTCCTCCTCCCCTCGCCCACCTGCCCGCCTCCTCCGGCCCTCGCCCACCTGCCCTCCTCCTCCCCTCGCCCACCTGCCCGCCTCCTCCGGCCCTCGCCCACCTGCCCGCCTCCTCCGGCCTCGCCCACCTGCCCTGCCCTCCTGCCTCGCCCACCTGCCCGCCTCCTCCTGCGGTTGCCCACCTGCCCTGCCCTCCTCCGGCCCTCGCCCACCTGCCCTCCTCCTCCGGCCCTCGCCCACCTGCCCTCCTCCGGCCCTCGCCCACCTGCCCGCCTCCTCCTGCCCTCGCCCACCTGCCTGCCTCCTCCGGCCCTTGCCCACCTGCCTGCCTCCTCCGGCCCTTGCCCACCTGCCCTGCCCTCCTCCTGGCCCCAGCTACTCTTCCGCCCACACTTGAGGCTCCCACTCACCCCAGGGCCTTTGCGCTCGCGGCCTCTCCCCCCTTCCAGGCCCCTGCCAGGTGCCGGGTGTAGTAAGGGCCCCCGCACCTACCTCGTCTGCAGCCGCCGGGGGCACGTGCAGTTGGTGGCGCCGCAGCCACGCGGCCTTGTATCTGTCCAGTTTCTGGCCCTTGTACTTGACCGAAGCCCAGCCGCACCCCGACTTCTTGGCGGGGTTCACCAGCTTCTTGCAGTGGGTGGCCCAGGCGCTGGGCGAGTTGAACACCTGCCCCGTTTCCTGCCATAGGATTCGTCCGTCCGGCTGCAGGTCCCCCACAAACTTCTTCCCCTGTGGAGACACCAGAGCCCAGTCCTCCAGGAAGTCCTTCCAGCTCACCCCCACCACAGCCCTCCCGGCTCCTCTGCGTCCCTGGGTCCCAATCCAGCTCCCCCATAACAGACACACAGCGGGACCAGCAGGTGTCCTGGTCATGACGGTCCGCATTGGGAGAGGAGGCGAACACAGACTTTCAACAGAAATAATAGAGATTTTCTGAAATCCACGCAAATGGGGAGCCCCACCCGCCCAAGCCCATGGAAGCGGCGTGACATCCAACTCCTGAAATAAAGTCTTCCTTAAAAATGCATTTAGGCAATACAGAAACTGCTAGAACTTATACAAGAGTTTGGCAGAGTGGCAGGGTACAAAATTAATGAACAAAAATCAACAGCCATTGTGTACGCAAACAGCTCCAAGATGGAAAAAGACCTAACCAGCAAGATAGTAGAGAAAAGTATGAAGTATCTGGGAATATCTAACTAAAAGCGTAGGAGACCTATTCGAAGAAAACTACAAACTACTCAAAAAAGAAATTGAACAAGACCTCAAAAGATGGAATAACATCCCATGCTCCTGGATAGGCAAAATCAACATCATTAAAATGTCTATACTACCAAAAGCAATATACACTTTCAATGCAATGCCAATCAAATTGCCCAAAGCATTCTTCACGGAACTGGACATAATGATTCAAAAATTCATCTGGAAGCACAAAAAACCCACGAATAGCTAGAACCATCCTGAAGAATAAGAAGTTAGCAGGGGGAATCACAATCCCGGACCTCTGGACATACTATAGAGCAGTGGTTATCAAAACAGCCTGGTACTGGCACAAAGACAGAGAGGAAGATCAATGGAATAGAATAGAAGCACCAAAAGGGAACCCACACAGATACAGCCAATTAATCTTTGACAAAAAGACCAATGACAGTCCAAGCAAGTGGGAAGGCCTCTTTAGTAAATGTTGTTGGGACAACTGGCTGATAGCCTGTAGAAACAAAAAGATAGACCCACATCTATCACCATACACTAAGATCCAATCTACATGGATAAAAGACCTAAACCTACATCCAGAAACCTTCCAACTCTTGCAAGAAAATGTTGGAAATACACTGCAAGACCTAGGAGTAGGTTCCGACTTTCTAAGAAGGACACCAAAAGCAATAGCAGTTGAGAACAGAATAAACAAATGGGACCTCATCAAACTAAGAAGCTTCTGCACAGCAAGGGAAACAATCAACAAAGTAAAAAAGCAACCCACAGAGTGGGAGAAGATCTTCGTGCACTATGTAGGCGATAGTGGGCTAATCTCCAGGATATACAAAGAACTTCAAAACAACCAAAAAACCAAAACAAACAAGCCACTCAAGAAATGGGCACGGGAAATGGGCAAACATTTCACAAAGGAACAAGTCCAAATGGCAAACAAACATATGAAAAAGTGCTCCAGCTCCCTGGCAATAAGGGAAATCCAAATTAAAACATCGATGAGGTACCACCTAACACCAGTAAGATTGGCCCACATAAACAAGAACACCAACGACGCTTGCTGGCGAGGATGCGGGGAAAAGGGAACCCTACTCCACTGCTGGTGGAGCTGCAAGTTGGTACAGCCTCTATGGAAATCAGTCTGGAGAACACTCAAACAGCTCAAAATCAGCATACCATATGACCCAGCAATAGCACTCCTAGGAATATATCCAAAACACCTGTTTCACGACAAACCAACATGCATCCCTATGTTCATAGCAGCACAATCAGTAATTGGCAGAACATAGAAGCAACCGAAATGCCCATCAGAAGATTGGATAAGAAAGCTTTGGTTTGGGGCCCAGCGCGGTGGCGCAGTGGTTAAGGTCCTCGCCTTGCACACCCAGGATCCCATATGGGCGTCGGTTCTATCCCGGCAGCCCTGCTTCCCTTCCAGCTCCCTGCCTGTGGCCCGGGAAAGCAGTCGAGGACAGCCCAAAGCCTTGGGACCCTGCACCCGCGTGGGAGACCCGGAAGAGGCTCCTGGCTTCAGATCGGCATAGCATCGGCCGTTGCGCTCACTTGGGGAGTGAATCATCGGACGGAAGATCTTCCTCTCTGTCTCTCCTCTGTATATCCGCCTTTCCAATAAAAAATAATAAAAACAAAACTCTAAAAAAAAAAAAAAAGCAAGCTTTGGTTCATCTACTCCATGGAATACTACTCAGCTATTAAAAAAAACCAAATGCAGTTCTTTGTGGCTAAATGGGCCCAACTGGAAACCATAATGCTAAGGGAAATGAGCGAATCCCAAAAGGTTAGATACCACATGTTTGCCTTGATTTAACCTGTAATTTTTGTTTGGTTGTTTGTTACTTTTTGAACCTGTCATTGACACTGTCTCAACCCAGATGTTTTGAAGAATTGAACTTGCATTATTTTTAACATATTGTTTACTCAATACTATGTCAATTAATTCCATAACATTGTATATTGATGCTGAGGTTTTGTTGGGGCTTTTAACTGGCCGGAACTTTACTCTGTTAGCTCGACCTTCAGACCAGAGAAGGTCTCCCCAAGAGGCCACTGAACTTATCTGGACAATAAGATGCTGGACTCTATGCTGGGTATATGCTTGCAATGAAGGAATCTCAACTGAACTTGAACTGTGGTTATGCAGCAAGGTGGAGGAATCCACTATGGGGGGAGGGGTGTGGGAGGGGTGGGGGGATCCCAGTGCCTATAAAACTGTATCACATATACAATGTTAATAACAAAACAAATAAATAAAACTTAAAAAAAAATGCATTTAGGGCCTGGCATCATGGCCTAGCGGTTAAAGTCCTTGCCTTGAACGCCCCGGGATTCCATATGGGCGCCGGTTCTAATCCCGGCTGCTCCACTTCCCATGCAGCTCCCTGCCTGTGGCCTGGGAAAGCAGTGGAGGACGGCCCAGAGCCTTGGGACCCTGCACCCGCGTGGGAGACCCGGAAGAGGCTCCTGGTTCCTGGCTTTGGATTGGCTCAGCTCCAGCCATTGCAGTCACTTGGGGAGTGAACCATCGGATGGAAGACCTTCCTCTCTGTCTCTCCTCCTCTGTGTATATCTGACTTTGTAATAAAATAAATAAATCTTTTTAAAAATGCATTTACATAAAAAGGCAGAGCGAGAGCGAGAGCGAGAGCGAGAGCGAGAGAGAGAGAGAGAGAGAGAGGGCGTGTGTGCCCCAGCAAGACTGAGCGGTCATCCGCTGGTCACGCCCCCAAGTGGCCACAGCGGCCAGGGCCCGAGGCAGCAGCCTGGAGCTCCATCCGGGTCTCCCCGGGGGGGCAGCAAGGGCCCCGAGCACCTGAGGCCTTCGCCGAGGCAGCCACGCCGGCCCCTAGATCCACCTGTTACAGCCAGGATCACACGCACCTGTCTCAGGCCCTCTCCTGCGCGCCTGCGCCCTGCAAGCCTCCTGCGCCCTCGCCCCCCACCACCCACACAGGGGCGAAACACACCCCGTTTTCCACCCAGAGGACACGACCCGCACCCCTCGGCCCCGCGCGCCTCCGCATCCCCCCCACGCACTCAGGGGGTGCGGTGCGGGAGCGCGGGGTCGGGGTGGAGAGGGTCGTGCGTGCGGCATTAGGATTCCTTACCAGATAGTAAATGGACAGGACCCCCGATCCGGGCTCCAGCAACGCGTCCTTCAGCAGCACCCGCAGGGTCACCGCGCGCCGGGTCAGCGCGCCCCCGAGGCCGCCGCTGCAGCCCCCAGACCCGGCCGTGCCGCCGCCGCCGCCGCCGGAGCCTCCACCGCCGCGCCCCCCGCCCGCGCCCGCCGGCCGCTCGGGGTCCTCGGCCTCTGCTTCGTCCTCGTCCTCGTCCAGCGCCTCCTCGCCCGCGCCGCCCGCGGGGGACAGCGGCTCCGGAGCTGCGCGCAGGAGGACGCACTCGCTGCGTGCAGCCGCGCCCCCCGAGCCGCCCCGCGCCCCCCGGCCTCCCCGCGCCCCCCGGTACCTGCCATGACCGCTCCGCCCCGTGCGCCCTGCGCGCCGCCGGCTCTTTCTTCCCGGTACGTGACGCAGCCCCGCCCCGAGCGCAGGGGGCGGGGGGCGCACGAGGAAGCGGAGGTCTCGGGGCTCGCGGGCGGGGGGTCAGCGCTCAGGGCCGCCGAGCTGGGGGGTCCCGGGGACGGAGGGGGGCAGACCCTCCAGCGGCCCCGCGCACGGCCACCCTGACCACGCCCAGGCCCACCCGCCACCTGCTAGGCCGCAGCCTGCGGGGACGAGCGGGCAGGGACGCGCTGCCGCCGCCGCCGCCGCTGCTCCGGGGGTCCGGGCTGGACGGCGTGGTGGTCGCGGGGCAGGTGGCGGCTGCAGGCTGGCGAGGGTTAACGAGCTCCCGGGGCCTGTAGCAGCTGGACGTGTGATTGGGAGCGCCGGGAGCCAATCATTCCCAGACCTGATTCTCGAACGGCCAATGAGCCGCGGGGATCGCGCTGGCACGGCCAGGATTTGCGCGCGCGCGGCGTCCGCACTGGCCATTGTGCCCCTACGCCCGGACCCGGGCACGCTGCGCCCGCAACGCGTGGGATGCCGCGCGAGTCCGGCCACCCCGGGGGCGTTGCCTGATGCCCTGCAGCGCCCCATGACCTGGAGGCAAGGCCTCCCAGCAGCCCCCCACGCCCCTCTGCCCCGGCGGACCCTGGCAGGCCTCGCCCTGGACCTGGGACACCATGCCTTGTGCACCTGCCAGCCCTTGGCACACACCGAGCACCCTGAGCCGCAACGAGTGCGCCCACCTGCTGCCCTCGACGCCCACCCGGCGGGGCTGTGCGAGTGGGGTGGGGCTGGCCAGGGTCCCGCGGCAGCTCCGAGTTCAGCCAGGAGCTTCCTCTGGGTCTCCCTGGGGGTGCAGGGAGAGCTGTCCGTCCCCCCGTCCCCCCGCTGCTTTCCCAGGCCACAAGCAGGCAGCCGGATGGGAAGCGGAGAAGCTGGGATTCGAACCGCCCCTCCTGTGGGTCACTTGGTGCTCTTGGCCGCAGCACCTGCTCTCCCACCCGCTCCACTTACCTTCTAACTCTTAGTTTTCCCATGAACTTTGTGAGGCACCCTGGCGTGTAGGCAGCTCAGCCCTGTCACTCTGGGGGGAACCGTCTTGGCTCCCGGTTTCGGATCGGCTCAGCTCCGGCCGTTCCAGCCATTTGGGGAGTGAACCAGTGGATGGAAGATCTCTGTGTGTGTGTCACTCTACGTTAGAGCAGGGGGCCCAGCGCGGTAGCCTAGTGGCTAAAGTCCTCACCTTGCAGGCACCAGGATCCCATATGGGCGCCAGTTCTAATCCCAGCTACTCCACTTCCCATCCAGCTCCCTGCCTGTGACCTGGGAAAGCAGTGGAGGACGGCCCAAAGCCTTGGGACTCTGCACCCGCGTGGGAGACCCAGAAGAGGCTCCTGCCTCCTTGCTTTGGATCAGCTCAGCTCCGGCCATCAAGACCACTTGGGGAGTGAATCCTTGGATGGAAGATCTTCCTCTCTGTCTCTCCTCTTCTCTGTATATCTGACTTTCTAATAAAAAATTGTTTTAAAAAAATCATAAATGTGAATTTCAGTTTTCCAGCAGGGTGGGGGAAGCAGGTGCCCTGGGGGGCTTGCACCTGGCAGACCTGCCCACTGCACTGCCCGCCAGGCACCGCCACCCCTCCAGTTACAAGCTCAAGGCTTGGCTCTGGGGCCAGGCTCAGGGAAGCCCCAGCCCCGCCCCGTGCCCGGCCCCCGTCACCCCGGCCCGGCCCAGCCCGGCCCTGCTCAACGCCAGCTGACAGCCTAGAGGAAATTCCCGGTGAAGCTGTCGTCTCAGCTTCCTGGCCCAGCCGGGCACCAGCTGGACATCGGGGCCGGGCCACGGGACGGCCCCCTCTCCGCAGCTGGCCATGGCCTGGGCCACCAGCCGCCCCCGGGGCGCCAGGGCCAAGGGCGTCATGCCTTCACACTACCACGAGAGCTTTCTGGAGAAGCAAGAGTCCAGCAGCCAGGTGAGGAGGGGCGTCAGGGGCAACCCGGGGGGAAGGCAGCCCATCTCCCGCCCACCCCATGCTGCCCCAACCGACCCAGGAGGGGAAGAACCGCGTGGGGCCCCCGGTGGGTGTGCCTCCCTCCGTCTGTCCCCGGTGCCTCTTGGACATAAACAAGAACACAGATTTCCTCCTGGAAACGGGACGCCGCCCTCTCGCCCTCCCTGCCTCCGGCGCTAATTGCATAGAATCCTCGGCCCTGCCAGGGCCAAGTTCAGGACAGGTGATGGCACATGCAGAGTCAGCGGGAGGAGGGTGCGAGCCCAGGAGCCGTGCCCGTGTGCGCGCAGGTGTGTGTGGGTGAACGTGGTACGTGTGTCAGTGTGTGCATGCGTGTGGCTGCCTGTGTCAGCGGCTGCTTCGGGACAAACCATTCAGTGCGGCCCCCGCCTGCAGCCCTGGCCCCACCGCACCCGTTGGGGTGGGGATCCTGGAACCCCTTAGAACCGCCACCTAATTCAACTGACACCTGCTTCTGCCGGCGTCCCTAGGTGGGGCTGCTCCGGGTCGCCCTGTCTTTTAGGGGTCACTTGGGTCCCCAAATCCGGGCTCTGGGGGAGGAGGGCCAGCGACATTTGAGCACAAACCCAAGGAAGTCGTGACACGATGAGTGAGGAAGGAGGTGCGAGGGGCGGCCAGCAGGCAGAGGGCACAGTCCCCGTTCAAGGCCCTGGGGCACCAGGAGGGGTGCCCCTCTCACCTGCCCCTCTGCTGCCACCCCCCAGGAGTACAGGAAGTTCTGGGCAGGCCTCCTGGGCTGTGACATCTTCTTCTATCCCAGTAACAGGGACTTCCAGGTAAGGACGGGAACGGGGCGGGGTGGGGGCCCAGCCCAGACATTGCATCGGGAACCTGCAGCTCATGGTGGGGACCCTTTTCCGGGCCTGTAGCCCGTGGAGAAGCTGGACCTTCGAAGGTTCGTGAAGTTCACAGATGCGAGACCTCCAGGTGAGCATGCCACCTGCTTCAGCCTGGTCCTCCACAACCAGGAGGTCAAGTTCAAGGTAGGGGCTGCAGGGCGGACACACACTGGCCGTGGGTCAGTGACAGGACCTCCCCGGGAGCCCGTGGGCAGGGCTGGGCAGGGCTGGGCAGGGGGCTTGGCATGCGGGGCCTAGGGCCTGGGACACAGACGGGCTATGTGTGGAGCCCACCATGTGGAGGTGAGGGCAGCTTACAGGACAACGCCCAGCTTTTCCTGGACGCCGTGACCCTCTCCCCTGGGCAGGCAGAGAGCGTCGAGTCCCGAGAAGTGTGGAAAGGATTCATTCTCACCGTGGTGGAGGTAGGCCCCGCCGGAGCGCCCCCGCCATGCCCTGAAGCCCCCCGCCATGCCCTGAAGCCCCCCCGCCATGCCCTGAAGCCCCCCGCCATGCCCTGAAGCCCCCGCCATGCCCTGAAGCCCCCCGCCATGCCCTTTAGACCCCGCCATGCCCTGAAGCCCCCGCCATGCCCTGAAGACCCCGCAGCTGCACAACGTGGGGTCAGCTGCTCCCCAACAGAGCGGGCACTGAGTCCCCACACACCCGGCACTGCCCACACACCTGGCACATCACCCATGCACCCCAGTGCCTCCCCCATCCTCCGTCCCTCCCTGTCCCTCCCCTCAGGATCCCTGGCCCGTCCGACCCCTGCCCGGCCCCTGCCCGGCCCCTCCGACCCCTGCCCGGCCCCTCCGACCCCTCCGACCCCTCCGACCCCTGCCCGGCCCCTCCGACCCCTCCGACCCCTCCGACCCCTGCCCGGCCCCTCCGGCCCCTCCGACCCCTGCCCGGCCCCTCCGGCCCCTCCGACCCCTGCCCGGCCCCTCCAACCCCTGCCCGGCCCCTCCGACCCCTGCCCAGCCCCTCCGACCACTGACCGGCCCCTCCGACCCCTGGCCGACCCCTGACCGGCCCCTGCCCGGCCCCTCCGGCCCCTCCGACCCCTCCGACCCCTGCCCGGCCCCTCCGGCCCCTGCCCGGCCCCTCCGGCCCCTGCCCGGCCCCTCCGACCCCTGACCGACCCCTGCCCGTCCCCTCCGGCCCCTGCCCGGCCCCTCCGACCCCTGGCCGACCCCTCCGACCCCTGCCCGGCCCCTGACCGACCCCTGCCCGGCCCCTCCGACCCCTGCCCGGCCCCTGACCGCCCGCTGCCCCCCAGCTCCGCGTCCCGTCCGCCCTGACGCTGCTGCCCGGGCACCTGCACATGATGGCTGCCGTCCTGGCCCAGGAGGAGGCGCGCCGCGCGCTCCAGGTGCCCTCGTGCGTGCCCGGGTCAGGGTTCAGAGGGCAAAGTGCAAGGCCACAGTGGGAGGGAGGGAGGGGGTGGAGCCGAGCGCCGGGAGTACGCCCAAAGGGCGGGGCTTGGCAGCAGGGCGTGTCCCCGGCAGTGGGCGGGGCCCCTGCGAGAGGGCGTGGCCCGGCAGTGGGCGGGGCCGTCGCAGGAGCGTGTCGTCCTGGGCGTGGCCTGCCGAGGGGCGGGACCCCTGTGAGTGGGCGTGGCCTGCCAAGGGCGTGGCCCGGCGGTGGGCGTGGCCGGCACGGTGCGAGCCCCGCCCCTCGCCAGGTGCTTCCTCCAGGTGAGCCGGCTGGAGGCGCAGTTGCTGCTGGAGCGACACCCGGAGTGCGGGAACCTGCTGCTGCGGCCGGGCGGGGCGGGCGGCGTGTCGGTCAGCACGCGGCAGAAGCTGGGGGGGTGAGTGCGCAGGCGCGGGGTCAGTGCGCAGGCGCGGGGCGGGCGCACAATCCAGGCCACGCCCCCAGCCGGGCGGAGATGGGTGGGTGGAGTCAGCTGGGGCCACGCCCCCAGGGAGAATGATGGGGTGGAGTCGGCTGGCACCACGCCCCAGGGAGGAGAATGATGGGGTGGAGTCAGCTGGAACCACGCCCCCATGGTGGGACTTGATTGGTGGAGTCAGCTGGCACCACGCCTCCTTGGGCGGGGCCAGAGCAGAGAGCCAGCCCCTGGGTGGGGCACTCAGGGCCACGCCCCACAATGATGGCGGTTTGGCAGAGTGGAGTCCACCGGGACTCCGCCTTCCGGGGCGGAGCTCGTGGGCGGGGCTTGTGCGGGCCAGGGCGTGTCCTTGACGTGCCCCGCCCCTCCACCTGCACAGGACGCCAGTGGTCAAACACTTCAAGGTGAAGCGCCAGGGCCCCCAGTACATCATCGACATGGAGGAGCCGGTGAGTGGACGTGAGTGGACGTGAGTGGACGTGAGTGGACGCTGGGTCCCCAGGAGGGCGCTGAGTGGCGTGAGTGACCTGCCGTGGACCGAGTGGACCCGACGGACGCTGTGGACCTGACGTGGACGGCCCACAGGCAGGCGCTGGCGGGGTGTGACCCCGACCGTGACCCCACACCCAGCACTGACCGTGACCCCACACACCCAGCCCTGACCGTGACCACACACACACCCTCAGCCCTGACCGTGACCCCACACCCACAGCCCTGACCGTGACCCCACACCCCCAGCCCTGACCATGACCCCACACCCCTTGAACTGACCGTGACCCCACACATCCCCAGCAGACTGTGACTCCACACAGACACCCCAACCTTGACCATGACCCCACACATCCCCACACCCCCTGCCTCCCCCAGTTCTCCTGCACCTCACTGGATGCCGTGGTCAACTACTTCGTGTCACGCACCAACAGGACCCTGGTGCCCTTTCTGCTGGACGAGAGCTACGAGAAGGTGCTAGGTGGGTCTGGCTCGGTTCTGGAACCTTCCTTGGCCCTCCTACGCCCACGCCAAGGGGACGCCCTGGGCCAGCCCCCACGCCATGCCTTCTCTGTTGCAGGCTACATGGAAGCCGATAAAGAAAATGGGGAGAGAGTGTGGGTGGCGTCTGGGGCCCCGGGGTCAGGTGAGGCGCACACCCGGAGTGTCTGCTGTGTCTCTCCTTTCTACCCTCCGATGCCTCCAGCGTGATGCGGACGCCCCATCCACGCGCCCTCACGCCCCACCAGGTCCTTCACAGCCTGCGGGCGGGCCCAAGAAACCACCTCCTCCATCGATCCCTGTGCCCAGCAGGGCCAAGCCGCCCTTGCCTCTGCCCCCACGGCCCAGCCAGGAGGACCACTACCTCACACTCACAGATGAGACCCCAGCCGCGGACTACGTCAACCAGCAAGGTAGGGATTCAGGGTTGCCGAGCAGTGTGGCCCGAGGGGCGTACGATCAGGCTCACGGCCCGCGTGGTGACGCCACCTCGCTGTCCCCACAGTGTCTGCCTCCACCCACCCAGCGCTCCCGAAGCCCCAGCAGCGGGGGGAGAGGCCAGGCCAGCCCCCAAAGCCACCCACTGCGCCCAAGCCAGGTAGGGGCGCCCCCTGCTCCCTTCCCTGCCCCACGCCCCCACCCCAGTGCTGGGATGATGGTTCTGGGTCTCCGCCCTCACATACTGCTTTCTCTCAAAGTCCTGCACGGTGGTGGACTGGCCAGGAAGGCGGCAGCCTGGTCAGTCCCGACGGCCAGCCTGGTCCCCGCCTCCATCACAGGTGAGGGTCGGAGTCAGGGCTCAGGCGGTGCCCTGGGTGTGACCCGCGTGGACACTGCTCCCCCAGGCTTGCATTCTGGGTGGATGGGGGTGGGTGGACGCTGGATTCCGGGGGTGGGGGACTGGGCCCAGCTAAGGCCTCAAGTACTGACCCCATACCTGCTCCCCTCGCCTGGCCCAGGGCTGGGATACGTGACCGCCGAGCTGGAAGAGAAGCTGAGAAAGCGGCGGGCGCTGGAGAACTGAGCTGGACATGCCCGGCCGGGACAGGGCGAGGAGGGGAGTGCGTGGGAGGCCTGCCCCCCTTGTCCAGGATTAAAGCTTGAGTGACCGGAGGCTCGCGTGTCGACCCATGGCCGGGGCGGGGACAACGAGCAGGGGAGGGTCCTGCCGGATGACCGCCCCGTGGCTGGACCCGTTCACTGCCAGCTCCTGCCCTGCTAGAAGGGGCTGGGGGTGCCGCTCACCAGGCAGGACACCCCCTCCCCACAGCACCAGGAACCCAGCCGTGCCGCTCGGCCAGTGTTTGACTTTTATTAAGGAGGTGAGTGGAGAGCAGGGCCCGCCCAGGTGCCCACTCCCTCGCAGTGACCCCCGAGGAGGCCTTAAGGCTCCTTAGCAGCAAGTGAGACGCCCCCCAGCCACCCCGAGCTGGCGGGGGTGAGGGGGGAGGCCGGCGGCCTAGGTGAGGCTGGTGTTGGAGCTGCTCGTGGCACTGCCCCGTTTCTGCAGGCAGCGCACGCAGCTGGGCACCTGCAGGCCCGTGGTCACCTGGAAGCTGCCGCACCACACCTGGGGAAGGCAGGGGGCGGAGGGTCGGCCACCAGTGTGTCCCACCCCCGCCACAGCACCCAGAGGAGCTCCCCCCACCCCGACATCCCAGGCCCAGGAGGCTCACAGTGAAAGCAGGCAGCAGTGGCTGCGTGAACTTGGCCTTGAAGGTGTGCAACAGCTGTTTGGTGCGAGCATTGTAGAAAGACAGGAGACCTGGGGGACAGGGCAGAGGCCAGGTGAGCAAGTGGGCGGAGCCTTGGGGGAGGAGCCTTCACGGGAGGGCGGAGCCTCCAGGGGTGGGCGGGGCCTCTGGGGAGGGCGGGGTATCTGGGAAGGCAGGGCCTGGGTGGGTGGAGCCTCTGGGAAGGCAGGGCTTCCAGGGAGGGCGGGGCCTCTGGGAAGGCAGGGCCTGGGTGGGTGGAGCCTCTGGGAAGGCGGGGACTGGGTGGGTGGAGCCTCTGGGAAGGCGGGGCCTTGGAGTGGACAGGGCAGGCTGGCCCGGGCCTACCTTGGTGGAAGTCGCAGTGCACACCGAGGCAGTCGGGCACGGGGGCGTCCAGCACCTTGACCTTGTTGGCGTGTTTGGCCGTGAAGCTGACCTGCAGCCAGTTGTTGACGTGCAGGCACCAGGAGGCCGCCGTCTTGCCCAGCTGCTCGAAGCGGCCCAGGCTGCGGTAGGCCACACCGACACCGAAGGCCTTGCTGTCGGGCTCGTAGCGCACCTCCCAGTAGTGCTCCCCGCCGTCGATGAGCGTGTCCCCTGTGGGAAGGCGGGAAGAGGCCGGGCTGGAGGGGGGACAGCCACGCAGGTGCTCCCAGACAGCCTGTGGGCTCTGGCCATTCCCGCCAGGACCCCCGGCCATCCACCACAGCCTCCAGAACCCCAGGGAGCCCCGGTCTCCCTCCAGCCTCTCTCCACGCCCGGTTCTGGTTCTCCCCCAGCCCAGGCCAGGCGGGGCGCTGCAGAGGGGCAAGGGGCCAGGCTCCCGTGGAGCGCTGCCTGGGCATTCTCCCAAGCCCTACCTGCGAAGCCCTGTCCACCCTCGCCTTACCCAGCACCGTGTAGGACTCAGCCGTAAAACGGTCCCGTCCCCCACGACCAGACGGCATCCTCTTGGGGGACGGGTTACCCCTGTGGATGACAGACGGAGGAAATGTTGGTTCCCCGTGGGTGGGGTCCCCTGGTTCACACGAGGCACGCAGGGTCACTCCCTGACAATATTCAACTCATTTCCAATCCAGGGACCTTGCTGTTCACACCACAGCACCTGGAAAACTCCTAATCAACCACCAAAACCCTATCTGAAATCTCCGCACACGCTGTGGGCTCCTCCCTCAACCCCCTACTTACCTGGCGGGGGAATTGACGGGCGACGCCGTCCGGCCTTTGCTGTCCTTCTCTCGTGCCTTCATGTCCTGTACCTTCCCGCCCATGGCGTCCCACTCCACGGCGAGCTCGTCCACTCGCAGGTTCTGGTGGGATGTGGACGCATCCAGGCGGAACATGAACGCTGGGGCCGGGCAGACGAGGGAGTCATAGGGGCGGGGAATCCCAGAGAGACACAGAGAGAGGCGGGCAGTGACCATGGCAGACCAGGGACCGGACAGACACGAGGGGACGAGACGGAGAGAGAGGGCAGCGGACGGAAGCTGAGAGACGGAGGGCGGCAGCCAGGACTGGGCGTGGGCTCCGCAGGCCTCTTCTGGCCCAGCAGTCCTGCCCTCCCCGTCCCAAGAAATTATTCCAGGAAGTGGCTGCAGCGTGCAGGATGTAGGCTAGATGGCAGGGGGGACTTCCTGACCTCCCACTCGGGATAGGGTGAAATGTTTGTTGGAGGAAAGAGAGACCAAGCGAGCGAAGGACCAGGCTCTCTGGACACGAGATGGAAGCGGAGCCCAAGCTGGTGTGGGGGGCGGAAAACCAGGGAAAGCAGGAGGGGGGTGAATCACCTGGTGTTTCCAGGGTTACGGGCTCCGAGAACTCGCCAGCCACGGCCTTGTTGCAAGCCTTCACTCGGAAGTTCATGAACTTCATGTCAAACTTGAGGCCTGGGAGGCGAGAAGGGGGTGGCATCACCACGCAGCCCTAGAGTCCAGCCCATGGGGCCCCCTGCCCGATCCTCCATCCTATGGAGCACCCCACACACAGCCCCTTCACCCCCACCCCAGTTCGGCCCTCCTCCCTCTCATCCACCTGCAGGGATGGGGGATTATCCGACTCCAGCCCTAACTCAGAATGCTGGACATTCAGAATCGCTGTAGGACCCAGGGCCGCAGTGATTGGCTCACGGTAAAGGCAACTGCCACAAGCTGGCCAATCAGAATGGGTCCTGAAGTTAGAGCAGCCAAGATAGCTGGAAGCAACTTCTTCCAGGATGCAGGCAACAGGGGCAGGGGAGCAGACAGACAGGGCCCTGGCTGGAAGCCGGGGACCCGCCTCGTGTGGCTCCCTCCTGCTCAGGGACACCAGGTCCTCTGATGAAAAAGCTCAGGACAAATGGAATTAAAAGTAAGTATATTGGGGCTAACATTGTAGGGAACAGACAAAACCACAGCCCGTGATGCCAACATCCTATATGGGTGCAGGTTCAAATCCCGGCTGCTCCAATTCCAATCCAGCTCCTTGCAAACGTGTCTGGGAATGCAGTGGAGCCACCTGCACCAATGAGGGAGATCCAGATGTGTTCCTGGCTCCAGCCTATCCGAGCACTGGCCACTAAAGTCCTCTGGGTAGGTGTGGGGAGGGTTGGAATGAACTAATGGATACATGTCTGCCTCTCCCTCTCTCTGTATAACTCTTTAAAAATCTTTATTTATTTATTGGAAAGTCAGATTTGCAAAGAGGAGAGATAGAAAGATCTCTTCCATCTGCTGGTTCACTCCCCAAGTGGCTGCAATGGCTGGAGCTGAGCCGATCTGAAGCCTGGAGCCAGGAGCCTCTTGGGGGTCTCCCACGCGGGTGCAGGGACCCAAGGCTTTGGGCCGTCCTCCACTGCTTTCCCAGGCCACAGGCAGGGAGCTGGATGGGAAGTGGAGCGGCCGGGACATGAACCAGTGCCCACATGGGATCCTGGTATGTGCAAGGCGAGGATTTAGCCACTGATTTAGAGCGATGGGCCCAATGTTGACTTCCAGGTGAACAAACCCTGAGCTGTTGTGCAATGCTGAGATGCATGTGGTCACTTTACCTCCCCATTTGCTGCACCGACGTCCCATGGGGCACACAGCCCACACTCTCTGCCGCTGCCCCTCCCTTCTCATCAAGCTGCACTATATGTGGTCCACACACATCTCCCACCCCGCCCTGGCAGGTCCCATCGGCCAGCCCTGCCTGGCTGACCAAGGCTCTGCTTCTGCGCACGCAGCTCGGCGGGCCACAGCCCTGGGCTCTGCCGGCTCTGCCATCTGCGTCCCTGCAGGCCGTCACATGGTCAGGATGGCTCGGCCCAGACCCCTATGTCCAGCCGCTTCTTCCATGCTGCCCCACTGGGTGCCTACCCCGCAAACGTTCCCTAGCAGCCACCAGCACTCCCAGCTCTGACACCTGCTATGGCTCCCTACACCTGCTCCAGGCTGTTCCACTTCTTGATGGCTTTGAGTGACTTCACAGGTGAGCCACAACCAGCACTCCCCAAGAACTGGCTCGCTGCAAACAGGCAGGATGGAGGCTGTGACGTGGGAGCCCCAGAGCGGACCTACACCTAGACCAGGGCAGCGGTGGCCTGCGGGCACCCAGGGACACTCTCTGCAGGCACCACGCTGGGTCTCAACGCGCATGGCTGTGCCAGCTGCCGCCACACAGAGCAGCTGGGTGAAGGGAACCCAGCCCACACCACGTGCTGTTTACCGTTGACGCATGCGACGCCCTGTGTGCTTGCCATTGTCTTAATAGAAAATGACAGCCTGGCCAAAGAGGTGGCGTGCGGAGGGCGGTGCGTGGGAACAGGGTTTATTTAAAAAAAAAATGGGGGTGCCGATGTGGATCCCTGGAAGCAGTGTACTTCAGGGGTTCACAGGCTGCCTGGCAGCCCAACCCTGCAATTAGCAAGCTCATCATTAACCACGCGTACTAATTGTAACCAGTCAGCTACGCACCACCACAGGCGGGAAGGTGGCAGTTAGCCTGTCAGCCAGGCCCAGTCCCTTGGGGCTTCCCCCGGCTTAGGGCTGTGTTTGCAACTCATTAAGGGGTCCCCAAGTTCTCCCTCCTCCCCTCCCTGTCCCTCACCAGCTGGAGGAAATCTCCAAACGCTTGGAATGCCTCCCCGAATCCTGGAGGTGCTACATATATTATTAGTGAATGTGTGAATGGACAAGCAGAAAAAGTGGCTGCATGACGGGATGAATCGGTGAATGAATAATGAGTGAATTCATGAATGGATCAGTGGGTGAATGTGTGAATGAGGGGGTGAATTAATGAATAAGTCAACGAGTGAATGAATGAATGGGTGAGTTAATGGGAGAGGGGGTGACTGCACCATGAGGACCCCTATGAGCACCCTGGCTGTTCTGGAAGGTTCTAGGCCCCAACCCGCCAAGGCCTCACCTGTCAGCGTGTACTCCGTCTGCCGGATGCCTTCCACCACCATCCAGGGCTGGTCCTCCTTGAGGCGGGGCGGGCCCTCGAAGTTGGTGCGGCGGTACTCAAGCACGTAGTGGTCGATCTTGCTGTCCTCGTCCGGCATGCGCCACACCAGCGTCACGCAGTTGTCAGCCACCAGGGACTCAGTCAGGTCGATCACAGGGGCGCTGGGCACTGGCCGGGACAGGAGTGAGGGCAGGTGCGTGTGGGTCAGGAGTCAACGGGGCAGGGCTTGCCACCCTCTGGACTCTGGGGTTCAGGTACTAAGCCTCCGACGCCCCCTTAGGACACCCTGATGCAGAATGTTCCGAAATTCTCTACAAGTTGGGGGCGTGGCTTTCCCCAAGCCAGCTGAGCTAGATAGGTGGGGCCTCCTCAAGTCTCCGCCCTGTGTGGGTGGGGCTTTCCAAATGCCCCCACCCACCCCAGAGTGGGCAGGATCTTCTCAGGGTTCCTCCCCCAGTGGGTGGGGCCTTCTCAAGACTCCACCTTATAGAGGCGGAGACTCGTCTGGGCTTCCCGGGGACCCCAAGCCCTTCCCACCATCCCCACAACCTCCTGTTCCCCCAGCGAACCCCGTCCTCTCACCAGGCAGGAACTTGAGCGCCTGCAGCAGCTGCCGCTCCTGGGCAAAGTCCACCATGAGGTGGCTCATGTTATCGCTGACCTTGGCTTTTAAGGACAGGCGGAAGGCAGGGGCCATGGTCACCCTGCAAGGGAGGCAGTGGGCTGCTGGGGACACCCAGGCCTGCTCATCGAGGGGAGGCAGGGCCCCTACCCCATGCTCTCTACCGGCCATATCCCCTCCACCTGGGCACTGGGGGGTACACCCCAACATCTTACCCATCTTTGATCTGCTTGGCAGCCTAGAGAGGGGACAGGAAAAAAAAAGGCAGATTGCGTCGACTGCCAGAGGAACCCACTATGCAGAGGGCAAGACAGAGGCCCGGCAGGGCACCCCCAGAACAGCGGCTGCCACTCCAATATCTCCTCCTTCTAGTGCCCCAACTCCCACTGGCTCCTCCCACTGAGCTCACTTCCAGAGAAACGATAACAGATTCTTTTTAAAAAACTGGAAAGTCAGCTATACAGAAAGAAGGAGAGACAGAAGGGAAGAGCTTCCATCTGCTGGTTCACTCCCCAAGTGACCTCCAAGGCCGGAGCTGAACTGATCCGAAGCCAGGAGCCAAGAGCTTCTTCCAGGTCTCCCACATGGGTACAGGGTCCCAAGCCCTTGGGACATCCTCTACTGTTTTCTCAGGCATATTAGCAGGGAGCTGAATCTGAAGTGGAGCAGCTGGGACTCGAACCAGCATCCACATGGAGTGTTGGCACCACAGAGCTGATACAGTCTCTAAGTTTTCAGAAAGTACTTGTTCAATGCCTGTGGGGAAGCTCCCGGCAAGAAACGCAGCCTGGTCCCCCTGTGAGGGATTCCGTAGCCGGGACCACACCTGCTCCCCCTGGGGTACACATGAGCCAGGAGCTGAGGTTGAGGTCAGCAGAGTTGGGACTCGAACCCATGACTCTCATCTGGATCACAAAGATGTCAACCAGCATCAGGGCAAGTTGCAGCTGGGGACACCTGGTTCGAGTCCCGGCTGTGGCTCCTGACCCCAGCTTCCTGCTCACGTGCACCCTGGGAAGCGGCGGTGACAGCTTGAACCCCTGGGCTATTGCCACCCACGTGGGAGACCCGGATGGAGCTCCCACCTGGCCAAGCCTTCAGGGAGTGAGCAGTGATAGATCTTTTTTTGGGGGGGTCTGGGGGTCTGGCTGCAGCCAGAGGTGTTGGAGGGGGCCCCTACCTGCGGGAAGTCATGGCTGTCGGTGGCCTGCAGCGTCTGGTTGGCCGTTTCCAACAGCTCCTCAGAGCTCTCCAGCGCCCGTGTGCAGGCTGCGAGCTGGTTCTGTGGGGCGCGCGACAGGGTCACCACGGTCCCGGGGACAGCTTGCCTCCCGGTCCCCCTCCTGCCACCGCCACCAAACCCTCAGGGCTCCCCAGGCCTCCAGGCTCCCATTCCAGGGAGATGGCACCCAAGGGGGATGGCTCCTGGCAGCCAATCAGAATCGCCTAGGGAGTTTTATTCCTTAAACATTCACACCTGAGCCCCCTCTCCCTGCCCGCTCCCCCCGCCAGACACACATACACTGGGGCCTGGAAATCTCAACTGTTAGAAAGTTGGGGTAGAGGGGTTACTGGGCGCAGCCGCAGTGACCCCAGCTTGGCGCCCCAGAGCCCACAGGAGCCATGGGAGGTGTCAGACGGAGTGGAGCAGTGGGAAGGTTGGATGTGGAAAAGGGGCAGCTGAAGATGGACGGGAAAGGCACAGAGCCAGTCGCAGGGTGGGCTGGGGGAGGCAGGATTAAGAGGAAGAACAGGAGATGGGGGTGTGGGTGGGGGGTGGAGAGGGCTGTGGCTGGGGTGGGCGTGGGGCGTTGGGTCCCTCCCCAGGCACCTGCAGCTCGTAGGTGCGGCTGGCCCGGTCCTGTTTAATCTTCATCAACATTCCTTCCTTGAGTTCCTCCAGCACAGAGAACAGGGACTGGAACTCGGCCTCCAGGTCCTCCTGCACCTTGGTGGAGTTGGCCTGGACGGGTCCCCGCGCGCCCCGGCGGGGTTCAGGTCAGGGGTTAAGCTGAAGCTAGCCTCCTCCGCCGCCCCCTTCCCATCTCTGCTCCTCCCTCCTCACCTCCACGTTCAGCAGCATCTGCTTGAGGGAGTAGATGAAACTCTGGATCTCCTCGTTTTTCACGGCCAGCGTGGTGATGATTTTGCGCAAGGCCTCCTGCGCCCACGCGGAAGTGCAAACACACACACACACACACAGGCGCACGCTGCCGGTGAGCGCCTCCGTGGGGTCACGCCCCACCCACTCTCACCTCCAGCACCTGCCACGGCTGCCCCCGCTACCCTGGCCGGCCCTATGAGCAGACAGACGCTGGCACCTTGAAGCCCACCTGCCCCTGGATGCCCTGGGGACCAACATCCTGCAGTCAGGCAGGAGCTGGCCAAGAGGGAAAAGATACCTGTAGATAAATGAAGAACTAACCTGGGCAAAGAGGCGCTCAGGGAAGTGGGCTAGCCTGGGATCTGAGGCTGGCTAAAGGACGGAGACACCTGAGGGTGCCCCGCCTGGACAGAGGTGGCACTGGAGGAAGTGGGAGTTGGGGAGGCCGGGAGGGGGGGTGATGTGGTGGTTCTCCAGGTAAGAGGATGCGGAGGAGGATGTGGGGGCCGTAGGGGGTTTGCGTTCCCCATGGGACCCCTCTGCTGGGGGCGCAGGGTGGACAGGGTCAGCACGGAGCAGCCAGGGTCCCCATACCTGGTCCACAGCCGGGATGGAGGGCATGGCGGAATGGGGTCGGGGCTGGGACCAGGACCCTGGACCGAGTGGGGGGCCATGGAGGGGATAGAGTGGAAGGGGTTGCGCCCCAAGTCGGGTGGAGCTGCAGCGTGAGGCGGGGCCTCGGCCTTGGCGCAGTCGGGGAGGACTCTGCGGCATCACCTGGTCCCCTGCCCGCGTCCACCCCCTGCGCGCGCTCCGCCCCGTCCTACCCGCTGGTCCTCCATGGCTGCACCCCGGGTCACCCCGGCTGCGTCCGCGGGGCCCCGCACGCGCTCTCAGTCCCCAAAGCTGCTGCCTGGGCCGCGGCTGCGAGCCAATGGCCCGCCGAGCCCTCGCCGCCGCCGCGCCCCCGGTCAGCGCTCCATCACTGCGCGCATTGCGCAGGCGCGCGCGCGCGCTCTGCGCATCTCTGGGAAATGTAGTCCCGCGCCGGGCTCGCCCCCCTCCCCAAGCCCGACCACCAACAGGGACCTGGGGCGCTGCTGGCGACGGAGACGTGACAGCCGGAAACCCCAACCTGACGCTGAGACCTCAGGACCGCCTGACCCATCCGTGCCTCCCCTGCCCTCTCAGACCTCCCCGAACACGCCCACTCAGTGCATTGGAGCCCACTCCCCATCACCCTGCCCTGACCTGGCCTTTGACACCCCCGCCACACACACACATTAAAGCCTTCAATATCCCAGCAGGTGCTCGGCCTTCAATATCTTCCTTCCTTCTCTCCATGGGGCACCGAACTCCTACACAGCTCTCAAAACCCCAGCGTCACTCCCTAAAGCTTTCCTATCTGTCTCTAACAGCTGGGGCCACAGAGATGGGGGATCCCCAAGGCAGGACCCCATCATCAGCAGGAATACAGACTCAATGCTCATGGAACAGAAAAAAAAAAAGCTTCAGGAGATGGTGGCATTCATTCACCAAGTACCATCATCACCCATCGACCACATGGGACATAGTACCGTCAACACACTCCACCTCCGTCTCCTGGCTTCTCGGCGGACACTGAATGGTGACAAACAGGGGAGCCCAGTTCTAGAACCTTCGAGCTGCAGTGTGAAAGCCCACCTCCCCACAGTGAGGACTACCTGCCCCAGCAGCCCAGCCCGCCTCCCCATTCTGCAGAGGAGCTGGTCGAGGGTCAGACGTGTCCATCGCTGGCCATGGGTGTCCCCTGCCGCCTGCAGAGCGGCTCTGTGCAGGGCTAGGGGACCCCCAGACCCTCGGGACAGACTCCTGGCACATGGCCAGCCACCCCCCACAGCTGGCTGATAGTGAATCCGCTGGCAGTGACAAGGGGGCCAATTAACAATTAGCAGAGGCTGTGGGGTGCGGCGGGGGAGGGAGCGCCCAGCTGTGTGGCAGCTGCGAGGAAGGGAGGGCGGTGGGCACCCAGCCAGCTCCACGCAGCTGCCTGCCTTGCCTCTGCTTGCCAGAGCTGGGGCCTTATCTCACTGCTGCACGGGGGTGACAGGAGTTCACGGCTGTTACACAGACCTGGCTGGGAGACACCCCCACACACACCCACTTAGCCTTTTACGTGCTTGCTGTGTGACCTCAAGCAGGTAGCCCAACTTGTCTGTGTCCTGGGGTCTTGCGCTTTGTCCTAGCAAATGAAGCAGCTGCCTGTTGCAGCACCCGCATCTCACATGGGTGCCGGTTTAAGTCCCGGCAGCCCCGCTTCCCATCCAGCTCCCTGCCTGTGGCCTGGGAAAGCAGCAGAAGACGGCCCAAAGCCTTGGGACCCTGCACCCGCGTGGGAGACCTGGAAGAGGCTCCTGGCTTCAGCCTGACCCATTGCTTCCCCCTTCTTGAGGACACCTGTGCACCTGGCGTCCTCACAAACAGGACCCCCAGCTCACCCCGCTGTCTGTGCTCCTCTCCCCAGTGCTGCTGGCAGAGGTTAGGGGAGCAGGGGTGCCACTACCCCAAGGATGCAGGCGGGCGCCCTGAGTGAGGAAGGTGGAGTCATTGTGCTCGGAGCGCCCCCGTGTGCCACAGACAAGCATTGCTGCAGCTTTGTTACCAGCTGCCACCCCAGGGAGGGACGGCCAGGCAGGAGGGCGTCCTCAACCTCTGTCCCCTGGCCCCAGATGCAGGTCCCACTGCATAGCCCAGCCCAGAAGGGTATTGCTGAAGGCAGGAAAAGGAGTCAGACTCTCAGGGCACCCAGCTGCCCGCTGCTTCCCACAGCCCCAGGCCGGCAATACAGGTCCATGGTGTTGGCACAGTTATGGGGGAGGTGGGGGGAAGACAGAAGTCTGAAAGATCGCCTGGGCCCCCAACACCCCCTGATGTGGCCTCCTTGACTCCTCAGCAGTGCCTGGAGGTGGTGTGGGGCAGTGATGGGCACCCCACGGCCTTTAGCAGGCTTCCCGCCTGGCTGGGCTGTCACTTTATAGTGACACCGCCTGGCCTGGCTCCCCTCCTCCTCTGCTGCTGTTACCATGGGGACAGATGTGCCTTCTGTAGCTTAGCTGGGTGGAGGGGAGTGGGGTGGGGCCAGCCCAAGAGCCCAGCCCTGGGCCCCGGCTCCATCTTTGCAGGCTTCTAATTCTGCATGAGGTCCAGGTCTGGAGCCAAGCACCGTTTTCCCAAGACTAAGACCTGCCCTCCCCCGTCCATCCTCCCCCGCTAGGGTCTTGCTCGGTGCCCCCACCCACCGTCCAAGAGGCAGGTGCTTCTGCAGTGCCCTGTAGGACACTCTGGGACCACTGCCCAGATGGGCACATGACCCCTGACAGCCAGGACACAAGGTGGACAATTACATTTTTATTCTGCAGTGCCGCAGGGCCCCTCCCTCCGGGGGCAGGGTGCAAGGCTGGGGCCCCACGGTCAGGGGGCCTGCGTGGCCACCGGGTACAGCAGGGCCAGGTGCTCAGCGCCCTGCACGGGCAGTGGGCGTGAGCTGAACCGCAGTACCAGTTCCGGGACGCTGGCGAAGGCGCCACTGTGCTGGCCCAGCACGAACTGGTTGTCGCGGGTCCGAGCGAACTTCAGGTGGAGGAAACCCTGGCTGCTTCTGCGGGCGGCGGGGGGGTCGAGGGGTTGCCCTAAATGTCCCTTCCCCCCTCCCCCGGGAACTTAAATACCCTCAAACTCGGTCCCATTCTCTCTACCAGCTGACCCACCTTGGCTCCGCCCATGAAGCCTCTCACCCCCCACCCCAGGGGCTTGAAGCCCCCCTAAACACACCTGCCTGAGGCCCCGCCCCTGCCCTTTGAAGCCCCGCACCTGAGCGACAGAGAGCAGTCCTGGGGGCTGGTCTCGCTGAGCCGCACCAGGTAACTGCCTTCTTTGCACAGGGACAGGCGGTTCTCGGCGTCCGCTCGGCTCAGGGGGCCGTGAAACCACCTGCGGGGTGAGGCAGGTGACGCGGGAAGCCGCGCCCCATCCCACGGCAGGGCGGCAGCAGGTGCAGGGGCTGTGACATCTGGGGTTTCTCAAGGAGAGCTTGGGAGTGGGTGGAGCTGAGCTTTCCTGGGGATGCAGCTGGGCCCCGGGGTCTGCCCCCCCATATCCTCCAGCCTACACCTGCCCCTGCTCCTCCTCCTCGCCTCCCTCTGCCGGGGTCCCATCACTCCCACCCTCAAGTGATGACACCACCAGCCGCTGGCCCTCCCAGAGCAGCGGGAGAAGTGGACGAAGTGACCGATTGCCCACCAGGCCCCCCGCTGGCTTCTCCACTCACGGCTGCTTCTCCAGGGGCACGGCGGGGTCCACGCGCTCGGCGGGCTGGGGGCTTCTGGGTGGGGGTCTCCGCAGTTCCTTAGCCGAGCCTGACGTCCGTTCCCATTCTGGATTGTCAAACTGCACTGGAGGTGGAGGGGTCAGTCAGGGAAGGGTTCAATGGGGGGTTGGGAAGCTCTAACTGGGGGACCCTGGCAGAGACCAGCCAATGGGAGTCCTGTAGGAAGGTGGTGTGGCTGCTGCCAACTGCCTGGAGGAGGTGAAGCAGGTTAAGTTAGCTGGGAAGAAAGGACTGTGGTTCCCAAAGTGGCATGGCAGAGCCAGGAGCCCCCAGTCAGACAGCGAGGGGGGCATGGCTCCAAGGGGGAGGATTGAAAGTTTGCTACTAGGGGTCCCTAACTGGTGAACTGCACGCTGGGGTTCTGTCCCTCCCAGTCAAATTCAGAAACGACACAAGTGCCTCCCCACGCATAGCTGAACCCTTACACTGCACCCCGCGCCCCACAGGGCGTTTTCATGCAGGGTCTCCTGGGAGATTTTCTGGTTCTGTCATTCACACTTCAGCAGGAATTAGCCAGTTGCCCAGAGCGAGAGGGTGACGGGAGTGGTCAGGAGATGCACCTGCAAAGGCCCGGGAAATGTGTTCCCTCTTCCACTCCCAGGGCTGGTCGTACTCGTCCGCCGGCCGCTCGTCCTCCGGGGGCAGCCGGCTCTGCCGCGGTGGCTTCTGTTCCAAACCAGGCCCATCCCCGGCCACCGCTGCCACTGCTGGTGGCTCTTGGTCCTGCTCTTCGTAGGGGGTGTCGTACAACTGCACCGCTCGGCTGGGTACATCTGGAGGCGGGGAGGGATGGAGGACGGACAGGCCATAAGGACATCCTTCCCTCCGTGGGAACCCCCTACCACTGTCCCCCCAACACGCCACCTGCTCACCATTCCCTACGTGCTGGGCATCGTAGGGCTCCATGTACTTGTCATCTGGAGATGGCAGGCGGGGGTGTGCATCAAAAGGGTCCGAGTACTCTGTGTCAGCTTCCGGCTGCAGAGAGGAGGCAGAGGGACAGGGCCTGGCTGGCGGTGCCCCTGCTGGGTGATGGCACAGCCTCTGCCTGCGCACTTGGGGTCTGAGTGCTAAACTCCTCAGCTCCTCCAAGCCACTCCAGCCATGAGGAGCCAAGCAGAGGTGATGTACCCCCACCCCCAAGGAATTCCAGTCTTAACACCTGGTAGCATCCATGGGGGCCAGGGAGGCAGGTGGGGGTCCCGTCCTGAGGAGCTAAGACCAAGGGACCAAGGGACCAAGGGACCAAGGGACCAAGGGACTAAGGGCAAGGCCATCCCCTTCCATGAACCTCAACTTCCACATCTGTAAATGGGGCCCACGAGAGGGAGAAAGAGATGTGGAGGTGGAGGGAACTGCAGCGGCGGGCGAGTGGTGGTGGAGCAGCTAGTGGGGGACTCCAGCCCACCCTGGGACCTCACAAACCCCAGGCACCCCCAGCCCAAGACCTGGGATCCATAGTGCACCCCTCCCCCTTTGTCCCTTCTCACCACACACCTGTTCTTCCTGTTCAGGGCTGCCCAGCAACGCCTTGGCTCTGGCCATGTCCGCAGCCTCTACCTTAATCAACCGGTGCTTGGGGGAGTCGTACTTGGCCGTGGCTGGGCCCTTGGCGTCCCCGGGGCCGGGAGGGTCGGGCTCCGCGCGGCTGTCTGCGTCCTCATAGGGGTCCTCGAAGTCCAGGTCCTTCTGTTCACGGTAAGCCCTCAGGATGTCGCTCTCCGTGTAGTCCGGGGTGGGCGGCTGTGGAGGGGGCCGCCGGCCCCCCAAGCTCAGGTAGTCCCGGAGCCACTTGGCCATTGGGCCGTGTGTGCCGTCACCCCAAAAGGGGCCAGAGAGAAAACCGCATGCTGTGTTCTGGTGGGCGGGGGGAGAAGGGGAAGAAGGGTCAGGTGCACGCTCTGGCTGAGCTCAGCTGGGGCGAAGAGGAAGATGGTAGCGGGAGAGGACGCAGGTGACAAGGGCGCACGAGAACAAGCTCACGGCGCGGGGCTGCGACACCGGGACTTGCCGCGGGCAGAGAGCAGTCCCCGCGCGCGCCTCGGCCTCGCGCCACCTCGGAGTTTGGCGATTTTAAGGGGTGGCGGGAGAGGGGGGCAGTGCCAGCTGAGGCCGCCCCGCCTCCGCCCACCACGCTCTAGCCGGGACCCCTAGGTCCTCAGCGCTGCCAACGGGATCCCCCACCCCCGCCAAGGGCGCAGGTGCGATGCGCAAAGTTGGGGCGCGGGAACCGAGACCCCGGCGGGGCGCATCCTTTGTGGCGCTGCTCTCCGTGCCTTGGGGAACCCCCCGAACCCGTGACCCCCAGACCAGCAGCCTGGATACGGTCCCTGACGCCGGCACAAAGGGTAATACAAACCCTTGTCCAATGTCCCTATTCGCTCTCGGGCGGCGTTGCCGGAGCGCATCCAGGAGGGGGGGCACTTTGGGGAGGGGGCGCGCAGGCGGCCCTGGGTCCCCGCCAGCCGTGGCGCTCCCCACCGCCCCCCTCCTCTGCCGCGCGCTCCCCTCGCGCTCCCCTCCCCCGCGCGCCCCTCGGAGGTGACCGAGACCTTCAGCTGTTCCAAGGGTGAGGGGGGGAGCCCTGCCCACCGAGGGGCGGACCGGACGCCGAGCTGGAGGATGCTAGCAGAGGGCGCCGGAGTGAGCGCGCGCGGCGCGCGAGGCGGGATGGCCGGGACTGGCGCGGCTGGAGCACCCGGGAGGGGAGGAGGGAGAGGGGCTGGGAAATGGGCGCTCGGGGAGGGGAGAGGAGGCGGGGAGGAACGAACGAGCTGGACTTGACCGAGAGAAGGGGTGAGACTGACCAGCAGAGGGGGCGATGGAACCCGGGAGTCCAGCGGCTGAACGGACCAGTGTGCAAATGGAGAGGACAAATCTGGCATCCCGCAGCAACGCCCACCCCCACCCCGAGGCAGGGGGACCGGCCGCCCCTCCTCCACTCCGGCCCCGTCCTGGTCCCCGGGGTGGGGGCGGGGCGGGCAGCTGGCCCCTGATGGAGATGCTATCAAGCTCGGGGCGTCTGTCCTTTTGTGTCTTTTTTGCCAGGACGGGGTGGGCGGGGAGGGGGGTCCTGCCTGTGTCCAGCTGCACTCGGGAGGGATAAGGCTGCACGAAGTGGGGGGTGGGAAGCTCCTGGCCAGTGCCAGGGGAGGGCCATTTTCCTTTGCCTGGTTCCCTGAGTGTCAGGGGGTGGGGGGAGTGCAGGCAAGAATGCTGGGACCCTGGAGCACCCTCTCCAGCGCTCCCCCCATCCAGGCAGGGGTACAGGATCACCCAGGCAGGTTCAGGGGGTGCCACCTCCCCTCATTGTATTGAGGGGGAACCCAAGCACCAGGACTGGGGGGGGGGGTGTTTGGCTTGGGAGAAGCAGGCTTCCTGGTGGAAGCATTGGTGGGGGGGGGGTCCCCAACTCCTCCATCCTCACCCCCTGGGTGCACCTGTTGCGCTCAGCCCTCCCCACCCGCCTGCCTGCCCGCAATCACGGGCACCCCCAGCCTCCCCCTCTCACACAGGGGCGTCCCCAGGGACAGCCCCGGGGGCACGCGGGTAATTGTCCCGTTTTCTGTCAGCTGCTCTGGGGGCCTAGCTGTCGACAGATCACCCGGTGTGGGTCAAGCCGTGGCGCGTGCGGTATAAATATTTGAAAGCCGCCTCCTCCTCCCGGAGCTGTGGTGGGAATGGTAATTAGGGGCTGGCTGCGGCTGCGCAGCTGACTCCCCACTCAGTGGAGAGGCAGGGTTGGGCGGCAGTGACCTTGAACCCGCACATGGTGACCCTGGGGCGGAAGCGGCAGGTGCTTTCTGCTGGCCTAGGTCTCCGCCTGGTACTGCGGAGCGGGCAGCCCCTGGGGGTCAGGGATCTGACAGGTGGTGGCCTGGCTGGGGCTCTGCTTCCCTGGGGCCCTGACATTGGTGGTGGCTGATGTGGGGACAGGACCAGCCCCAGGGACCCGATAGGGAAAGTGGATGCACTGGGGGTCCTACCATGGGGCCACCCGATTCAGGCCTGTCTCATCTCCATCCCCAAGTCCCTGGTGACCGAGCGGCCCCTTCCTGTCCCTCCAGGTTTCCAGCCGAGGGTGGGGGGCACTCTGTGGCTTCCGTGTGTCTCTTCTGGGGTAGGAGATCAACTCGGGCTCCTCAGGCAGGGGAGCCCTGGTGCCTGCTCCCCAACCTCCGATCCCCAGCCCGCACAGCCCCGCTCCCTGCTTGGCCACCTCAGGGGGCTGAGAGGAAATCCCACAGAAGTCCTGAAAGCTGCAGGGCCAGGGGAGCACCTCGCCTCGCTCCTGGGAGGGGCAGTGTGGCTGCGCTGCTGGCAGGAGGGGCAATGGGGGTGCCCTCCTCTCCTCCCTCGCTCAGCTCCAGGAACCCCTAGGAGGGAGCCGGAGGTCAGGAGGAGTGGAGCCCCCAGGGCACGGGGTGTCACACGCACATATGCATCCACAGCAGCGGGGAGGAGGGCTGGGGACGCAGCAACCCCTGGGTTTGGGGTCATCTGCCAGTAGGGTGACCTACTGGCAGTTAGCTCCCTGCCCTTGGCCGGCACCTGCCAGGGGGACTGGGGGTGGAGGAGAAAAGACTGTCACCCACCAGGCACCTGCCCCAGGCCCCCAGGCACACAGGAGGGGGACCCTGGTGATGGCCGCTGGCCGGTCCAGGTGTGGTGGCAGGTCCTGGACGCAGGTGGTGCCCCGGCTGGCTCACAGGAGGCCTCCGCCATGCCACGGGTGCCCTATGTCGCAAAACAGGTGCCAGACCCGCTGTTCCACTCGCGGTCCGGCTCCCTGCAGGGGCACACACACCCCGGCGGGCAGCAGGGGACGGGTCAGGTCCTTGGGTCCCCGCACCCATGTGGGAGACGGGGTGGAGCTCCCGGCGCCTGCTGCAGCCAGTCTTGGCTGGGGCCACCATCTGAGGAGTGAGCGAGAAGAAGGAAGACCTGTTTGTCTCTCCATTATCATTCTTCCAAATCAGCAATGCTTTTTTTTTTAAGTTAGTATGCTAAATATAGCTAATACTGATGTTGTAACTGGTGTCGCCAGATTTAAGTGTCACAAAGCGTTCATATTTACATGGTTCACTTATGGAATTCTGGCTTAGCTTATCACCTGTGTACAAAATTACTTGGTGGAAGAGTCCATGGAGAGGGGAACAGAGATATTTAATTGGGCGTTAACATTTTTTATAAAAGATTTACTTATTTTTATTGCCAAGGCAGATCAGATTATAGAGAGGAGAGACAAAGATCTTCCATCTGCTGGTTCACTTCCCAATGGCTGGAGCTGCGCCGATCCAGAGCCAGGAGCCAGGAGCCTCTTCCGGGTCTCCCACGCACAGGTGCAGGGTCCCAAGGCTCTGGGCCGTCCTCCACTGCTTTCCCAGGCCACAGGCAGGGAGCTGGATGGGAAGCGGAGCAGCCGGGACACGAGCCGATGCCCCCTATGGGATCCTGGTGCATGCCAAGCTGAGGACTTACCCTCTGAGCTACTGCACCGAGCCCCAAAACATTTAAAATGCTTGAAGACATGAAATACATTTAATTTTTTTTTTTTTTTGAGAGGTAGAGACAGAAAGAGAGAGAGAGAATGCGGCTTTGCTGTTCCACACCCTTCATGCCCGAGGTGCCTGGGGCTGGGCCAGCAGGGACCCAGGCAGGAATGGCATCCCAGGCTTGGGGCAGCGTGCACGCCTAGCCCAGCTCCCGCTCTCCACGGGGAGCCGAAGGAGGGGGGGGTCCGCTGGGGAACCTTCTGCTTTGTTCTCTGGCCAATGCAGATCTGCAGTCCGACCCTGCCGGTCCCAGACTGGCTGAAGGCAGTGCTGCAGCCACTTCCGGGAGGACCCTTGTTTGCCCCTGGACCCCTGCCCACATTCCCCTCCCCTGAGTAGGACCCGGGGAGACTCAACCTGCCCAGCAGTTGGTCCCTAGGGCTAGCACCTTGGGCCTGTTCCTTTGAATGATTCCAGAAAGTTCTACGCAGGGCCAGGATGGCGCTAACCAGGAGGGGGAAAAGGGGAGTGTCCACGGAGCCCCTGCCTGTGCCCGCGCCTTCACGGAGGCCGGACCCAGGCGATACTCAGCTGCTGTCCTCGCTGTCCGTGTAGGCGCCCAGCAGGCTCAGCGAGGAGGTGCCGCCGCCGGGTGCGGGTGCTGTGAGCTCGGCCGTCTTCCCGTTCACAGGGTTACCTGGGGGGAGAGGCCCCATGTTGGCCCTTGCGGCTGGCATCCAGCAGCCCCGGCAGGTGCAGACCCCAACTCCATGCCTCCACTTCCGGAAGACCCCCTGCCCGCCCTCTCCCTGCCTTCTGGGCGCCCTTCCACCTCACGAATGGCCACGGCTGGTCCTGCCAAGGCCCTGGTTCATAGGCTGGGAACCTCAGCCTGCAAGGTGCAAGCCCCTGGCTCAGGGAGGCCACGCCTGTCCCCGGGGGGACACCCCCATGCCCGAGGCACCCCTGCGTCTGGGTGCAGAGGAAGGGAGTGGCTGCGGGACCTTACCTGGACTTGGTGCCGCCTCCCGGGATCCAGGTTCCGAAGCCTTTGCTCCTTTTGGAACCAGAAGGGTAAGGGTGACCCCCTGGGCCGAGCCAGGATGCCCTCCCCTACTGTTCCCCCCAGACTGGTCCCAGCCTGCACGCTGCTGCCCCCTCGCGGCCGCTGGCGGCATCACACTCACCTGGGCTGGGGGCCGCCTGGCCAGCCGAGTCCATTTTGGCTTTCTTCACCAGCACCAAGCCGGCCAGCTGGGACCTGCGCCCACGGCCCCCCAGGCTGTCTGCCTTCCTTTTCCCCTGCGGCGGTGGAGGGACACACAGGTGGCTCCTGTGTCTCGGATGGGGCCTCCCCAAGCCCGGACTGGCCTCCCGGGATGACGTCAGCGGCTGCAGGGTGGGGGGGGCATCGCGCCCCCCCTGGCTCCTTGCAGCTCCATGCCACATCCCACACTGCCCTAGCATGCAGCTGAGGGAAACAGGCAGCCCTGCCCCGTGCTCCCACCTAACCCCAAGGGAACCCTCTTATAGCTTTAGGACTAACGGGGCCTGAGCCAGTGGCCAGCCGGGAGCTCACACCCACGACAGCTGGGTCCCCCGTCACCTCCTCCAGGATGGCCGTGGGGTTGGGTCTGGGGGCTGGCCGGGCCGGAGTCGGGGTTGGGGCGGTGTCCTCCTCGGAGTCTGAGTCCTCCAACAGCCGCCGCCTCTGCGCTTCCTCCAGAAGGGCCCTGGGGAAGGAAGGTGGGACTCGGGGACCGAGGGCAAGGCTCGTGTGGACCCAGCCAGAGACGTACAAAGTGGGGCCAGCAGCTCCGTCCACCTCAGCCACCCTGCTCTAGGCCCGGGCACAGCAGGGGGTGAGGCTGGCAGCAGGCAGGTGCACGGGAACGCGGCCCGGCCTTGTCAGTCACTGCGGACGGCAGAACCTGGGCTGGGGGAACCCACCGCACCCACCCAGGACCTCGGCTGCTGGCACTGACCACGGGGTCTTTCCCTGTAGTCTGGGACCTGGACAAGCATGGCCCGCGCCCCTAAAATCCTGGGTCACTGACAACATCTGCGCTGAGGGATGTGGCCCTCGCGGCCCCCCAGGCTCTGTCATACCAGGGTGGGGAGGCTAGTGGGGCAGTGGGGGCGCTGGGCCAGGGGTGTGGCTGCAGGGCAGTGGGCGGGGCCTCAGTCAAGGGGGGTGGAGGGAGCTGTGGGCGGGGCCTCAGGCAGGGTTGGAGCCTGGGGTCTCAGAGCAGGGGTCTCAGAGCGGGGGTCTCAGAGAGGGGGTCTCAGAGCGGGACTCACGCCGTCTCCCGCGCGTCCTCCTCCTGTTCCTGCAGGCGCCGCTCCTCTTCCGAGAGCCGGTGCTGGCGCAGCATGGCCTCGAAGTCCACGCAGGCCTGGCGCTGGTTGAGGTCCTGCAGGTCTTGCAGGTTCTCCAGGGCCTGCATCTCCAGCTTGGAGTCCTTGGTGCGGTTCTCCAGGACCTGCAGGGTCAGTGGCAGGGTCCCCATGGGCACGGTGCAGGGTCACCGTGAGTGGGCAGGGGCGGGGGACTCAACCCCACGAGGGGCAGGCCGCCAGGAGGGAGATGGATGGGCAGCCTGGCCAGGGGGGCTCCACACTGCCTGTGTGTGCACATGGCAACAGGGGAGAAACTGAGGCTGGGGGTGGGGCCTGCCAGGCAGGGGGAGGAGCCTCCTTGCTGGGGGCGGGACCTCTGGCAGTGGGGGAGCAGCCTTCTGTCCTGGGGCCTGGCGTCTGAGAGCCGAAACCCAAGACCCTCACTTCCACCCGCTGCAGCTAACTGTGGGGCCCTGGAATTTTCCAGAGCCCTGCGGCAGGGCAGGGCAGGCTTGGGGAGCACCTGGGCTCAGCCAGCCTGGCCGGGGGCAGCCCTCGCACCTTCATGGGGTTGTTGAGCTCCTCGTCTTCCCGCTCCTTCTGCACCCGCTTCTCCTCCTCCTCCAGCAGCTTCTCCGCCTGGAAGTTGCGCGTGGCGCCGTGCTCCATGGTATAGTCTGTGTTCTCGGGGTCCGTCTGCGGGGCAGGAGAGGGGGGTGCAGGACGACCTCAGACTTCAGCGCGGGAGGAGTGGGGGCGCCTTTCTTGCCGCCCCCAGCACACCGCCCCCCTCGCACCTTGAAGGTGATCTCGGCCAGGCAGCGCGTGCACTTGATGTAGAAGCGGAAAATGGGCAGCCCCAGGTAAGCCTCGTTCTGCACCGTCTCCTTGCGGGCGTTGAACTTCTTGCCCTTGTAGATGTATTCCCCGCACGTCTTACACCTGCAGGCAGCACCGGCGGCTCGGCTCCCTTCTCACGGGGAGGTACCCCACTCGCTCACCCCCGCCCATGCCCTCCCAGGGCCTCTGTTCCTCTGACCCCCTCAGCGCTCCCAGCCGTCATCCCTGCATCCCTGCACCTCAGGAGCCTCTGGTTCTCGCTCCCCCATCCCTGCTCGGGGCGCTCACCGCATGTTGAAAGGCGCCATGAGCCGCACCACATACTGACGGTCTTTGGGGAGCTTGAGTTTGGGGATCTTAGATGGGTCGAAGTCAGGTGGGTAGTATTTCTGTGGGAGAGAAGAGGGGCAGGCGTCCACGGGGCTGCTGGGAGCGGGGCAGGAGCAAGGCCCTGGTTGGGGAAGGGGGTCAAGGGACTCCCCAGACTCGGCTCCCGGGATGAACAGGAAGAAGTCCCAGGCTTCCGCATGCCATGCTGGCTGGCTTCATGGCCACGGTCAGTGACCATCATGGAGGTACTTGGTGACTGCACGTGGCAGATGCAGAGAGAATCAGGGTTTGCAGGGGGCCGGGATGATGGGCCTCTGTGCCTCCCGTGAGCACAGACTCCAGACCCCCACCTGAGGGTAAAACCTGACAGTGGGGCCCTCAGCAAGGGGTCCTAGACTGCGCAAGGGGCGAGTGTGGGCGATGGGGAAGAGGGAAGATCCCTCTTAGGGTACACCTACCCAGGCACCGGGCGAAACACAGCCCTCACTGCCCCCCCCCCAGCACATCCTCTGCTCCCAGACCCTTCACAAAGAAGCCAGGAGGAGAGGTCCCCAGGTCATCCGGGGGATCAGAGCCTGCTGTGAGGACACGGCTCTCGGGGGTCTGAGCATCTGAGCCCGCTGTGAGGACACGGCTCTCAGGGGTCTGAGGATCTGAGCCCGTTTGAGGACACGGCCCTCGGGGGTCTGAGGATCAGAGCCCGCTGTGAGGACACGGCTCTCAGGGGTCTGAGGATCTGAGCCCGTTTGAGGACACGGCTCTCGGGGGTCTGAGGATCAGAACCCGCTGTGAGGACACGGCTCTCGGGGGTCTGAGGATCTGAGCCTGCTGTGAGGACACGGCCCTCGGGGGGCCGGGAGGAACACAGGGGAACACCGGAACTCCACTTGGCCCCAAGCTCCCCAGAACTCCAGTAATAAAGAAGGCACCCCATTGCCTAGTTTCCCCAGTGGGCAGTGAAATGGGCGGGGTTCCAAGAGAGCACCGCCCCTCACATGACATTTCCGCAGCAGATTGGGCCGTCGTCCAGAAAGCCCGCCCACAGGGAGAGCGATTGGAGAACTGTCTGTCAATCAAGCAAGACGATTGTGTGCACATCCCAAGCTCCGCCCCCACCCAGCTAGCTGAACACGCCCACCCCGGAAGCCCGCCCCTCAGGGAGTCCCGGAGAGCAGTTCGGGGAGCCCCGCCTTCCGGGAAGCAGTCCCGCCTCTCCCGGCACCGTCCGCTTCGGGCCGACCCCCGCGCCCCCTGGCCGTCGTCCACCACTTACGTTTAAAACTTTCCGCTCCGACATCTTGTCTTCCCGCGCGCCTCCCTAGTCTCACGCCGCCGGGCGAGATTCGCGAGTTCAAGTGGGCTTCTCCGGGACTTCCGGTAGCGTCACTTCCGCAGGCCGTTCTTATTGGCCACGCCTCGGATTCTAACCTTGCTCATTGGCTGCCCTTGACGCCTATCAAGCCTCCCCGAGTCCGTCTGGGTCTGTGCTCCGGCGACGGGACCCACAGCAGCGTGGAGGAAAGGTTCCGGGGGCACCCCATTCTATGAGGGGGCGCCATCGGGGGCCCCGTCGGTGGCCGCTCCCCTCGGGACTCTCGGCCGCCCGTGCTCCCTGGCCGCCCAGTACATGCTGAGAGCCGACTCCGGCCCTGGACCCGGGACTCTGGGACCTCCCTCGCCGTTCCTGTGCCCACGTGGAGTGTGGGGTCCCCCCCCCCCGGGCAGCACCCTGCACCCCCAGACCGCACCGTGCGTGTCTCATCAGGTCCCCCAGCATTTCTATCTTCAGCCCCGTAGGTAGTTGGGCTTTGTGGGGTTCAGTCCCAGGTGCAGGCCTAGATTGGACTTGCAAGGACTGCACCCCAGGACTGTAGGTTTGGGGTCGGCCTGGTTTACCACGCGTGACCAAAGGTCACAGAGAGAGATAAAAGCATAAGGACTTGGAGAGGGGCGAGCCTTTATTCCAAGGAGAAGGAGTGTTTCCTAAAAACATTCACAGTGTGCAAAGTAGGGTCCTGCCCCCGCCCAGGAGAGGGTGCGTCCCCCCCCATTCCACAGACACACCCTCACAGCAGGCTCAGATCCCCCCCCCCCAGGATGACCTGGGGGACCTCACATTCCAGGGGCGCCCGGTAGCTGCACTCTTAGTGTCCAGGCCCCGGGGAGGGGGTCAGGGTCCAGTGGCCAGCAGGCTCCAGTCGCTAACTTCCCCGTAGTCGGTGAGGTCCTGGGCGGCCACCTGCACGTGGTACCTGGCATGGGGTCGCACAGCCCGAAGGGTGACGGATGTGGCCTCGATGGGTCCCACCTGTGGCAGGCAGAGAAAGGGCTGGGTCAGCGAGGAGGGTGATCGGGCCTGGGCCTCCCACACCTGCCCTGCTGACCCCCATCCCACACCTGCCCTGCTGACCCCCATCCCACACCTGTCCTGCTGACCCCTCCCTTCCACACCTGCCCTGCTGACCCCCATCCCATACCTGCCCTGCTGACCCCCATCCCACACCTGCCCTGCTGACCCCCATCCCACACCTGTCCTGCTGACCCCTCCCTTCCACACCTGCCCTGCTGACCCCCATCCCATACCTGCCCTGCTGACCCCTCCTTCCACACCTGCCCTGCTGACCCCCATCCCACACCTGTCCTGCTGACCCCCATCCCACACCTGCCCTGCTGGCCCCCATCCCATACCTGCCCTGCTGACCCCTCCTTCCACACCTGTCCTGCTGGCCCCCATCCCACACCTGTCCTGCTGGCTCCTCCTTCCACACCTGCCCTGCTGACCCCCATCCCACACCTGCCCTGCTGGCCCCTCCTTCCACACCTGTCCTCTGCAGGAGCTGGGTCCCCTCCCCAGGGATTCTCCACCTGCAGACTGGACCAAGGCAGCCTCAAGCTGGACATGCTGCCACCCACCCTGTGTTTACCCCATAGCAGTGGCGTCAGGGCGCACACCTGTCCCGTCTCCTCACCTGGCGGAAGCGCGCGCCCCCGGGGCGCCGGTAGCGGACCCAGTACTTGAGTGAGAAGATGTCCGGGAAGGGCCAGGAGCGTGGGGGCGCCCACTGCACGTGCAGCCGCTGTCCCGGGAGGGGGCTCAGGCGCACCTCCTCGGGCGGGTCCGGTTTTACTGGTGACCAAGGGCAAGGAGCAGGGGTCAGAGGCTCCTTCATTCATTCAGCTACTCATTCATTTGTTCAGCCAGTGTCCACTAAGGGGGGTGGTGGTCTAATTACAAGGCGGGGGCAAGAACCCCCACATACACACACGTTGAGACAGGATGCACCAAGCTCCTCCCCCCCAGAGCACAGATGTGTGGTACGGCCATCACCTGTACTTCCAGAACATTCCATCAAGGCAATGAGAAGCCTGGTCCCGGGGAGCCAGCAGTCCAGCTTGTGGCAACCACGTGTCCCCTTCCTGTCCCCGACCCGGGGCTGTGGTTGTGGTGCCAGCATCCACCCCCCAATAGAGGAATACCAGTTCAAGCCCAGACTGCTCCACTTCCCATCCAGCTCCCTGCTACTGCAGGTGGGAAAGCAGTAAAGGATGGACGATGGCTGGGGACCCTGCCACCCTCGTGGGAGATCCCGGATGGAGCTCCAGGCTCCTGGTTTGAGCTCGGCAATCATGAGCAAAAAAACAGTCATTCACCATGTGCACACTGCTTGCTGTGGGTGCTGGACAGAGAGGGCGTATATGCCTGGGCGGGGGTCCCACGCACACCCACACTCACTAATGTTCTCAGCCACAAATAGAGTGAAGGTGCTGTTGCCACCGCCGCCGCTGGCAGGCATGGCTGTGACGTTGAGCACGTAGGGGACCGCGGAGAAGAGCAGGGGTTCCAGGATGGTGCAGCTCGTGGCGTTGGGCGCCGCCTGCAGGCAGGGCTGGCTCTCACCATGGGCAGCCACGCCCAGCCTGGAGGGACACAGGAAGAGGGGGTGCAGTGAAGGCTGGGGTCCCCATCCCCTGGCAGGCCAGGTGGGTTCCCCAGTCGGGGGTCATGTTGCTAGCAGCCCCAGCCAGTGTGAGGCCGAGGGTATGATGCCCCATGAGGAGGATGTGGGACTTCTAGAAGCTTCCACCAAAGCCCCTCTCTAACTGTTCTGGGGTCTGACATGAGCCAGGTTTCAGACTTCTCAGTTTGTCTGGGAGAACTTTCTGGAAGCTTCACAGGGCTCTATTTCTGCCCACATGCTAGAATCTGAGCTTTTGCATCTATAAGAAAAACCAGAGGTGGAGATGGGCAGAGTTGGAGTGCTGAGTTTCCAGCTCCCCTTTGGACCCGACTCCCTGCTCGTGTGCACCCTGGGAGTCGCCGTGCCTCCACGGGAGACCCACATGGAGCTCCCGGCCAAGTCCCGGCCAAGTCCCGGCCGAGTCCCGGCTACTGCTGGCATCTGGGGAGGGACCCAGCTGACGGAAGTTCTCTCTCTTGACTTTTACATCAATAAACATTTGGAGGTGCAGCCAATCTGCACATGCCAGCACGCAGCTCCTACTGGCGTTTCCAGGACCCACAGGGCTGGTGCTGAGGCAACCCCGGGTAGCCCCAATTTCCCCAGCATCCTCCCGCCCCCTTGGCAGAACTCCACGCAGCCTCTCTGACCTGTACGTGGCCACGAAGGACGTGGTCCCAGCAGAGTCGGAAGCTGGCAGCGGATCCCAGGAGCAGTCCACAGCCACTGGGTACCTCGATGCTTGGCACCACACCCTGGGCTGCGTGGCAACTGCGAGGAGAGAAAGGCCGCCCAGTCTCCATCTGCCCGGCCCTCATGGTCTTGCTGGGTGCACGGCAGGTGCCTCGTGAAGGCTTGGAGACTGAGCCAACATGATAACAAAGTCACCAGCCCCACCTCTCACTCGCACCCACCCAACACCTGACAGTCACTCAAGCTGACAACATGAGCACGGGCACAGGAAGAACCAATTGGGTCAGAACCGATATATATTTTTTTCTGATTCATTTTCAGTCTTAGGGTGTCCCCCCATGGGGCAGCGTTGGGGGTCAAGGACCCGCTCTCTGCCTCAGCTTTCCCGTGTGTACAAGGGCTGGGAGCCACGTCCCACCAGGGAGTACGCAGCGGGCATGACCGCCCCCTCCTGACCCAGCACAGCCCAAGGCAGGAGCAGGGCTAGGTACTGTCCCCCAATGTCTGGCTTCCTCCACCAAGCCTTACCCAAGGGCCCCCACATACCTCTCACTGCCAGGCAGGGTAAGCAGCCAGCCCAGAAGGCGAGGGCTGGGAGGAGCCAGGAGGCCATGGCCGTGGCCGTGGAGCTGAGTGCGGACCGTCCAGCAGCCAGAGCACCCTGTCTGGCCACAGCCTGGTGGGTGCGGCCGCGGGGAGGTGGCAGAGGGGCCGCTGCCTGACACTGTCCCACGCCACCACCACTACCACGTGCACCGAGGGGAGGGAAGTGGCTCCCGAATGGGGAAGTGACCTGAAGTGGGGGGTTTTCCCAGCCCGGGAGCAGGGGGTGACTCTGTGTGTGTGTGGGGGGGGGGGTGTACAGAGACGGGGCTGGGGGTCAGGGAGAGGGAGGCGTGAATGGAGACCGAGATGACACGGCCAACGCCGAGGGCCCCCACGTGCTGGCTGCCCCTCGAGATGCAGCCTGGGCTCCCCGGGGAGGCTAGAGCTACGGAGACACCAGTGTGCTATCGTTCCTAAGGGGCAGTCCCTCTTCCCAGCCCCCACCGGCACCCGGTGATGGGAACACCCAGAGAGCCTCTCCCGGGCACCCAGGAAATCCCAGGGAAAGGCCCTCAGGGGCTTCCTCGCTCTGCTTGGTTGGAAAACACCCTGGATTTGCAGTAGGGAATGGGTGCTGTGGGGAGGGGCAGGTGGCAGCTGGGGTCAGGGCCAAGAGTGCCATACCATCACCCCACACACACACACCGTCTCCGACATGGCAGCTTGGACTTCCTGGGGACCTGTTCACGTCTTTTTATTTTAAGCTGAACTTTTTTTCTTTTAAAGATTTATTTTTATTGGAAAGGCAGATATACAGAGAGGAGAAGAGGCAGAGAGGAAGGTCTTCCATCCGATGGTTCACTCCCCAAGTGGCCACAAGGGCCGGAGCTGAGCCAATCCAAAGCCAGGAGCTTCTCCTGGGTCTCCCACACGGGTGAAGGGTCCCAAGGCTTTGGGCCATCCTTGACTACTTTCCCAGGCCACAGGCAGGGAGCTGGATGGGAAGCAGGGCTGCCAGGATTAGAACCAGCACCCATATGGGATCCTGGCGCGTTCAAGGTAAGAACTTTAACTGCTATGCTATCGCGCCAGGCCCTCCCTGTTCACGACTTACAACACATCAAGCGGGTGGCCAATGGGCCAGCACATCAGACCCACATCCCATTTCCAAGGTGCCTGGGTTTCAGTCCCATGCTGGTGCACATCTGGGAAGGTGGCAGACGGAGGGGGGGCTCAAGTGCTGGGGGTGCCCTGTACCTCCCGTGGGAGACCCAGCCCTGGCTGCGTGGGCCTCAGAAGGCTGAGCCACATGCTGTGTGTGTACCCCTTAGATACACACACACACATAAGCCACACACGCTCCTTGGACTGGGCTACTGCTGTCCTCCCCGGGGGACCCCCAGCACTCAGGCCACCACCACGTCCATCCTGGCCACGGAGCATTTATTCCTGAGGGAGTGTGTGTGTGTGTGTGTGTGTGTGTGTGTGTGTGTGTCCTGGAGACGTGACACAGCGCGGGGCGCCAGGGGAGCGTGGGGGTCACGGATCCTCAGGTGCAACGGAGCCGGCCACAGACAGTCGGGGAGGGAAGGAGGGCTGCCCGTGAAGCCCAGTGGCCTGCGGCGAGGGGGGCGCGGCTGTGACGTCAGCGGCCCTGAGCCTGCAGCCGCTGCATCTGTAGGATCTGACTCAGCAGGCGTTGCACGTCCTCATCCATCTGACCCTGGGGGTGCAGGGAGCAGAGAGCCCGCCACCTTGGGTGCACCTGCCGTGGCTCCCTTTGGTGGCCCTGCCCTCCTCCACCCCCTATCCAGCCAGCACAGAGGCCGGCTCCAGGAGGGGCCTCACAATGGTGCAGACAGGGACACTGAGGCCCCGGGGCACCGGAGGCATTGTGCACAGCCAGGCGAGTCCCCCCGGGGTCAGGGAGGGATTGGCAGGGGGTGGGGGACAACACGCACCTGAATGGCATAGAGCAGGTGGCTCCTATACAAAGCCACCACGGCACAGTGGTTCCTGGCAGCATCCTGCGGGCGTTGGGGGCAGAGGGACGACAAGGCAGTGTGCCAAGAAAGCCAGGGTTTCCAAGAAGGTCGTCCCCCACACCCACAGCCCTGGCCGCAATGTCCAAGTACTTCCTGGCCCGTCCAGCAGGTAGCATTCTCACCTCCAGCTGCTGCTGCAGTGTGGCCACCTGCTCCCGCAGGGCCTGCACCTCCGGGGTGGCCTGGGCGGCCGGCTGCTCCTTCAGGGCCTCCTTGAGGTTAAACACTTCCTTGGAGAGCTCCGTGATCTGCAAGCAGGGGTTGGGGGGGACGTCAGCCGACACCCTGTCCTGAGGGTTTGCAGGTGGCACTCGATGATGTCACAACCTTGCAGTCAACGTTTGGCATGACGCTCTCCGTGGCACCGCCACCACGCCTGAGGGCACTCACCTTCTTGTCCTTTTCTTTGGCCTTGTCCAGGGCTTCCTGGGCACGGCTCTGGGCCTGGCGCGCCCGTTCCGCCTCCGTCCGCAACCCCCGCAGCTGCTGCTCTGCCGTGGCCAGCTGGGCCTCGGCCGCGTGCCGCTCGCTCTTCATGAACAGGGCCTCGCGCTGCACCTGCAGGCCATGGGTAAGCCACGTGGAATCCTGGGGAGGGTCACCCCCTTCCGCCCCTGCACACGGACACCCAGAGTGAGCTCAAGGCTTTGCACCCCGCAGCGAGCCTGCTGTTAGGACCCAGTGCCGGGGTGGCTTCCCACGGTCCCTGGACCCTGAGGACAGAGTCTTAGCCAGGTACGGGTGTCCAGGCTGCGGTAGAGCTGGACAGAGCGCGCCCTCTAGCGTCCATCCAGGGAACGTGCTCACAGACTCAGAAAAAGAAGAATTTCTAGAAATGAGGCACAAAGCCAGACTGTAAAAGACTGGAGGGAAAAAAAGGTCCTGATTCTTCGATGTTGCACACGATCAAGCACCCAGAACTTTCTGAGAAAACCGGCTCCTAGACTGTGAACCAGATGTGCCATTATCAACTAGAAACTCATATATTAATACATGCAAATTCTCTGAGAAAGTCATCTAGACAGCTGTGCTGAGAACCCAGTGCAATCACAGAAAAATGCTCCATCGTTCTCCTGGAGAAAGCGGAACACAGGAAGTCGTTTTGAAAAAAAAAAGTACTATGTAGATAATATTAGAATTTTTTTAAAATTAAAAACAAAACAAAAAAGCAGAACGGAGCTGGTGTCGTAGCACAGTGGGTTATGCCACCGCCTGAAACACCAGCACTCTACCTGAGCACCAGTTCGAGTCCCAGCTACTCCACTTCCCACCCAGCTCCCTGCTAACCTGCACCCTGGGTCCAGGGGTTCACGTTCTGGGGTCCCTGGCACCCATGTCGGGGGTGTGAATAGAGCTCCCGGCTCAGCTCTCCCCCAGCATTTTTGGGGTGTAGCAGAAGATGCGGGGTGGGGGTGGGTGTCTTTCGCCCTGCCTCTCCATGCTGGTGGGCCGAGTGGGCACCCCCTGTTCTCTCTCACCTGGAAGACCTCAGCGCTGGTCTTTTCGTGCTTGCGCCCCAGCTCCTCCAGCTGCGCCTCGAGCCGCGCCACATCAGCCCGCAGCGCCCCTGTCACGCGCTCATGCTCGGAGCGGGCCACGCTGCCGGTGCGCTCCCGCTCCAGCTCGGCCCGCAGCCGGGCCGCCTCCTTGCCCGTGGCCACCACCTCCTGCTCCAGGCCGGCCGCGCGGCCCCGCAGCTCCAAGGCCTCCTCCTGCAGCCGGTGGTGCTCGGCCGCCGGTACCGAGGCCTGGCGGAGCGCCTCGGAGGCCTCGCGCAGTTCGGCCAGCCCCTGGCGCGCCTCCTCGCAGGCGGCGGCCAGCTCGGCGGCCCGGGCCTCGGCCGCATCCCGTGCACGGCCCAGCTCGGCCGCCTCGGCCCGCTGCTGCTCGCCCGCGGCCGTGGCCGACGCCAGCTGCTCCCGCAGCACCTGCAGCTCCCGGCTCTGCTCCAGGCGCAGCTCCTCTCTGCGCGCCAGCTCTGCGCGCAGACCCCGGGCCTCCTCCTCGGCCAGCAGCCGGCCTGCCCGGGCCTCGTCCAGCCAGGCCGTGGCGGCCTCCAGCTCCCGCAGGCGGGCGTCCCGCTCGCGCAGGTCCTCGCGCGCCTGCTCCAAGGCCGCCCGCAGCTGGGCCGTGTCGCCGCCACCACCACCGGTGCTGGTGCCCGCGCTGGCCCCGCTGCCCTCCGCCTCTCGCATGCGCTGCCGCAGCCTCCCTGCCTCCGCCTCGGCTGCCTCACACTTGCCCAGCGCTGCCTCCAGCTCCGCCGCCGCCTCCCGTTCCCGTTCCCGGAGCGCTTCCTCCAGACCCCGAATCCGGGTCTCCAGTTCAGCCTGCAGCTTTTCTGAGGCCTCTGCAGCCCCAGGGTGTCGGATGGGGTTCGAGGGGACCCTGGAGGTGGTGGAGTCTGCTGCCGTGGCCTCCACGGCCGTGGCCTCCACTGCCGTGGCCTCCACTGCCGTGGCACCTGTGGCCGCATCATGCTTGGCCTGTGCGTCTGTGGGCTCTTGGCCTTGCTCTGTGGTCCTCATTGCATGGGTTGTCGCTTCTGATTTCTCTGCATTCATTGGTGTGACCTCAATTCCCATGGCTTCAACCTCTGTGGCTTCAGTTCCCGGAGCTTCGGGTCCTGTGGCTTCCGCGTGACTGTCCTCTTTTATAGCCGTGGCCTCCGTGACCTCAGCACTCGTGGCTCTTGTGGCCACGGCCTCGGCCCCTGCTGTTTCCACGTTCTCCACGCGGGTGGATTCTGTAGCCGTGGCCCTGGTTCCCGTGGTCTTAGTGGCCACGACCTCTGCTCCCAGGGATTCGTCTGTGGTCTCAACCCCGTTGACCCTGGCTTCCGGTGTGACCGTGCCATTGAGCCCCGGGCACACTGGGTTGTTTCCGTTGGTCTCAGTGGCCACCTCCCGGGCCTCCTGCCGCCGCTCCAGCAACCGCAGGGCCTCGGCATGCTGTCCACGGAGCTTGTCCAACTCGACCTGCAGGGAGTCATACAGGGCAAGAGGGACCACCTCGGCCGCGCCATTCACCTCCACCTGCGTCTCATCCTTCTCGAAGTTTTCCAGGACCTGCATGTGGGCAGGACGCTCCTTCAGGCAGGAGAAGAGGGGTTGTTCTCTTCCGCCCGGACCCTGGTTCTGCTCAGAGCCGGCCCAGGCCTCTGTCCCCCCCGCCGTCCCCTGCCCAGGCACCTGGATTTTCTCCAGCAGTTCTTGGTTCTGTCTGGTGAGCGCGGCCACCTGTGCCTGCAGAGAAGCTAGGAGCTCCCGAGTTGGGGGGCTTGGTGCCACGGCGGCCCCTGGCAGATGACACAGAGTCAGGCCTCGGGGTCATGGGCTGTGAGGGACATCTGACACGGCAGGGCGCCAGGGCAAGGTGTCGGGAGTGACAGGTGGGAGCCAGATGTCCTCTGAGCAGCAGACTGTCCCCACCTCCGTGGGGTCAAGGCTACTTCCCCTGCCCCAGGACCAGGTGCCGGAGCTCAGGGTCCTGGGATGGGGGCTCACCTGGCGAGCCCAGCAGCTCCCCCTCCTCGTCCTGCAGGGTGGGCACGCCATAGCTCGTGTCCTCTCGCTCATTCTGGGGAGGTAGAGTGAACTCAGGGCTGAGGGGTCCTTCCCACCCCCCAGAGACTCCAGGGAGCACTGGGGGTCCAGATGCCAGGATGAACCCCCACCTCAGGACCCTGCCACCAGCTATGTTGTGCAATCACTGAGTACACACCGTGCCTTCTGTCTCACTGTAGCTTTTTCTTTTTATTTTAAGATTTATGTTATGGACCTAGCGCGGAAGCCTAGTGGCTAAAACTTTGCCTTAGATGCACCAGGATCCCATATGGGTACTGGTTTGTGGCCTGGCTGCTCCACGTCCCTAACAGTAACTGCCACCCTAACTATAACCCTAGCCCTAACCCACTTCACCCCATCTGCCTCCAGGCCCACCCCATTACAACCCGCCCCTGACCCCCACCCATCATGCCCTGGCCCCGCCCTCCTCTTGCAGCCCCGGGTCCCCCCACCTCCAGCAGGGACAGGCGGCTCTGCAAACTCTCCACCTCTCTGCCCAGGCTCTCCTTCTCCTCCTGCCGCTCCGCCAGCAGCTGCTGCAGCTCCTGCACCTGCAGCCAGAGGGGGAGGCTCAGCGGCAGCCGTGGGATGGGGGCGCTGTCTGTGGCTCCCCCCAATGCACACACACCCACCTGTCTCTCCAGGCTGTGCAGCGAGCTGGCCTCGGGCTGCAAGGGGGAGAGGCGGGCACCGCCGTGAGGCACCTGCCCTGGGGACCTGTCTGCCCCACTAGCTGCCCACTCAGTCCACTGGAAGCCAGCCATGGCCCTGACTGGGAACCGACTGCGTGCCCTCATGGTCCTGGGAGGGGGGCACACCCTACACCCCGTCCCACGTCTCCCCCACCAGCTGACCTCGTGCCTCCGCTGCTCCAGGCCCCGGATCTTCTGCAGGAGGCGGCCCCTCTCCTGCCGCAGCCTCACGATCTCCTCGTAGGCTTCCCGGTCGTCCTGTTGTCCCCAGGCCCCCCAACCCCGGCCCGGCCAACCCTTTAGGTGAGGCGTCCCCGCCCGCCGCCCCACCGAGGGCAGTCCCTCTCCCCTATCTGGGGCTGTCACCCACCCCCCCAAATCCCACCCCGCCATGCCCACCCTGGACTCCGCTCACCGGTATAGGAATGCTGGCGGGAGGCAGAGGCGCCTTGCGTTTTTTGAGGGCCCCTTGCTTGTCATGACTGGTCACTGAATTCTGGGTGGAGAGGGGGGACAGTGTTAAATGTGGCCGGGGCAGGGGGAGAAGGGGGCCCCACCTGCCTCCCACCCAGACAAACTGACTGAGCCGATCCCTGGCCGTCAGCAGCCCCCATCACCCATCCTGGCGCACACATGGCCAAGATAGCATTCCGGAAGCTTCCCAGCCGCATCCTCCTCCAACCTCTGCCCCTCCGTACCTCCGCCCGCCCACCGTGGTAGCACAGTTGGCACCTGGGGTGTCCCCTACCACCACAGCCAGGCCCCGGGATTGGATCTTGTGCCCCCAGGGTTCTGGGGAGCAGTTTGAAATATCATTACCTGGGACGTCGCCTCGCCGGAGCCATCCTCTGGGAGGCGTGGGGAGAAAAGGGGGGCAGGGGCAGGGTCAGGCTCACCCAGCTCTGGGGACACCTCCTCTCCCAGCCTGGGACTTGTCAGGGAGGGGCGGTTCTCACTCCCCAGTACCCCAAGAATCATAGTTCCTACAGGTGCTGGGTCTCAGAACTCAAATCCACTGGCCGAACATGGATGCGGATGGGGACTCCTTGAAACTGCCCTCGATGTGTGTGGAAGGGGGGCCTGGAAACGCCCCACTCTGCGTGTGTTGTGTGGGGCTGCTTGGCGCGGGAGGCCTGCGTACCGCTGGGCGGGGAGGGACGCTGGGCTGCCTCCTGCAGCAGGTGCAGGATGAGTTTGTCCCCGGCCTGGGCGCCGTAGTGTGCCGCGTCCTGGCCCAGTGCATCCGTGATGCCAGGGCGCGCCCCACCCTGCAGCAGAACCTCTACAGTCTCGGGGCTGCCGCCCTCGCAGGCCAGCATTAGGGCAGTCCTAAGGAGAGATACAGGAAGGAGAGGGGGATACCCTGAGCCTCCAGAACAGGGCACACTACGGCGCCCAGGCCAAGGCCACCCAGAGAGAGGGGAGGGTGGGAGCTAGCCCACTCACCTGCCCTGCAGGTCCTGGTCGTTAGGGGCAGCCCCCTGCTGCAGGAGGAGACGACACAGATCGGTGTGGCACATCTGAGCTGCCAGGAGGAGAGGTGTGACACCCGACTGCCAGGGAGGTACAAGAGGAGGTGAGAAGGGAAGGGAAGGAACAGCCTGGAGCACTGCCCTGCAGGGAGCTGCCCCTTGGTGGTGGCGTACTCCCAGACAAACGCAGTGGGTCCCAGCAGCTCACCCGATCCCTCGGGTTCAGCTGTGCCTTGAAGGAGCAAAGGATCTCAGAGCAGGCGAGGCAACCGCTGGCAGCTGGGACAGGGCGGGAGAAAGTGGTAGTGAGGGGCGGGAGGGAAGGATCGGGGGTCCCCTGCTCAGAAATCCCCACCCATTCCCGGGAGGCTCCTGATGCAACCCAAGTGATGGATGAGGAAGATGAGGCCCGGCCTAGACCCCGGGGTGACACAGCGGTGGGCAAGGGTGGGCGCCTGTTATATGCGGTGAGATCTAAGTTTGGGCAGTGGAAAGGGGTGCCCCCCACCCCAATGCCCAGGCCCCAGGGCTGTGATGTCCTCTACACTGGAGGAGGAGGTTGGCCAGGCCAGCTCAGTGTCACGTGTGTGTTCAGGGCTGCCTCCCCCCTTCTCCCCAACGTCTGATGCCCAAAGCGACTTTGCAGCCCCCACACTGTGTCTCATCCCTGCTGGGCGCGCTGGCCTCTGCAACGCTTTAAATAGCGGCTGACTGACGGGCGCTGGCTGGCTGCGGGCAATCTCCACGAGGCAGGGGAGGGTCAGGCGAGCTTCCCCGGCACTGCCAGCAGGTGGCAATGTCCTCCACCACCAGCTGAGGTCACCCCACCAGTCACGGGCGCTGGGACCCCCAGTGTGTGTGGGTGCAGGCGGTCAGCGCCGCACGCACCTGCGTGATGCAAGGCTGTCCACCCGCTGCTGTCCACCACGTCCACCGCACAGGAGGCCTGGGCAGCAGGGACGGGTCACGTGACCCCTCTAGGCATGTCCCCTGCCCTCTTCTTCCTCCCACCCCTGCAGGCCTCCTTGCCTTGCAAAGCCCCCTCCCACCACCACCACCACCACCACGCGACCCTCTTGGCCTTCATGAGGGCTAAGGTTTGCAGGGTGTAGCTAGGGCCACGGGGTATTCCGCTGTGGGGAGATCTCTAGGGGTTTCGGGGGAGCAGGAGGACCCAAGAGAGCCCGTGCAGTTTTGTGGGGGGAGCATGTGGGAGGAGATTGGGGGTGACCTGCAGAAGCTGTTTCAAGCACTGAGGCTGGCTGTACTTGGCGGCCAGGTGCAGGGCGCTGTAGCCTGCAAGGGAGGAACATACAACCCAGCACTAGAACCTGGGTCCTGCAAGGGGTGGGATACTTCTCACAGCCTTGCTGCTACTCCCTTGTCCCAGGGAGCTCCGGACGATTTCGCTGTACCAGTTACTCCCCGACACCCAGCTACTCTACATGCACATTTCCACAGAACCCAAAGAGGCTCCTCCCTGGGTCCCCGCTAATCCGTACCTCCTTGCCTTCCCGTGCCAGATACTCGGCAGAGCCTTGCCTACTCCAGACCTCCTACCCTGCCCCTCATATAGCTCAAACACAGGTACTCCCCACAGGCCCAGATGCTCCTCCAAGCATCCCACAGTGCTGCGACTCATCTATTCCTTAATCAGAAACTCCCCAGCTGTGAGGTGTCAGCTCAGCCAATTCCACGCCACTCGAGGGGGTGGGGGTGGGGGGCAGGAACCCACCCGACAGGAGACCTTGCATCCTTGCAACAGGCCCCTAGGGCTGGGCACCTCCTCCCTGCCCAGGGCCCCTGCCAGTGGGCAGTACCTGCTCCATCCGTGCTCATCACATTGGCGCCCTGAGCTAACATCACCTCCAGACAGCTGGCCGCACCCCGCATGGCGGCCAGGTGGAACCTGGAGGTCAGAGGTCAGAAGTCAGGGGTCAGCTGGGGGCAGCTCCCCGCTCCCACCAGGGTCTCCCACCTCTCCGATTCCGAAAGCCCCCAGGCGTAGGCACTCACGCCGACTTGCCCTCGGGGTCCAGTTTGGTGGGCACCAGGCCCTTGCGAGTGAGGAGGGTGGCCACGCGGGCCGTGTCCCCGCTCTCCACGGCCTGCAGCAGCCGCTCGTCACTCTTGCCCCAGTCCTGGCTCTGCAGGGGCACAGCCAGGGGCGCATGTGGGGTCAGGCCACCACCTGCCCCCTCCCCGCTCCCCCTGGCAGGGGCCCTGCACTCTCATGGCCATGCCAGGAGGCTCCCCTACCCAGGACACTTGCCTGGCGCCTGCCTCTGGCTGCAGCTGGCTTCGGGATGGGGCAGGGACCACAGGGCGGGCAAGTGCCAAGGTCGGTGGTACTGAGCCGCAGCTGTGGGGGGGTTGGGGAGGGGAGGTGGCCCTGGGCTGCTGACCCCCGAACCCACCGCCAGCCTGCCCCAGAATCAGGGCCAGCATCTGACCCCAACTCCTCCTTGAGTTAAACCCCAGCCCCTGCCCAGCAAGACTCTGGCACTCCTACATCACTCCAATGGACCCTTGGTGTCATGCAAAGCCAACAATGGCCTGGAAGGGTCAAGCTGCACCCCTAAACCCCCAAATTGAATTTCTGATAGGCTATCTGGAGTCTTCTGCCTTGCAAATGACCTAGTCCATTGTCCCCAAAACATCCTGCCCCCGGAATGCTCTCCAAACGGCCTCTCCATGCTGTGCGTCTCCCCCTTCCTCGTCAGCATCTCCACCTGCGCCCCCTAAGTCCCCCACCCACCTCGCCCCGTCACCGGCCTCGGCTGTCGCCCCCCCACCCACCCTCGCGCATCCTTCGGGGCGAGGCGCTCCAAGCTCGCCCGCAGCCAGGGGGGCGGGCCAGGGTGGGTGGACCAGGACGCGCCCGCCCCCCGCCCCGCGCGCGCCCCGACCCTACCGCGAAGGGGGCGGCGGCGCATAGGCACAGCTGCTTCATGGCGTCAGGGCTCCGGAGGGGCCGGGCAGGGACCGAGCCCGGCGCCCCGCCCAGCATGCCACCCCTTTCTCGGCGCTCCGCCCTCTCCCCCCTAGGCAGGCCCGGGAAGGGGGATGGGGATGGGGAATGGGGGAGTGGGAAGGAGAGCTGCGGCCTTGGCCGGACTTGACCTCAGGGCCCAGCGGTGGATGGACGATGCCTGGTTCCCTCACCACCACGAGTCGCCGGCTGGGGACTCCCGGGGGACCCTCGGCGTCCATCTCCGCCGACTCCATGAGCAGGTGCCTCCCCGAGCCGGGAGGAGCAGGATGGACAGAGCTGCCCCTCTCTCTGCCCCCTGCCTGCCTGTCTGCCTGCCCATCCCGGCTCTGCGCTTTTTTCACAAGTTCTTTAGCGCATTCATTCATACACCTGCCGGAGGGGGGCAGGTATACAGCCCAATGCCATGGGAGTCCAGCCGGGGCCCCCTCCCCATAGTCTGGAGTTTTTTTTTTTTTTTCATGCCAGTGCTTGGGCGAACTTACCAGGTGTGGTCTCCACCAGCCTCCTCTGTGAAATGGGCTTCCCCGTGAATACTCCTATTGCGGAGGGTGACTGAGGGGGCTGGACAGCACAGCGGGGAGTGCCCCCATGGGGCAGGTGGGCACAGCCTAAAGGGTCACACCCTGGGGTGGCCTAAATGCTGTTGGAATCCCTGGCCTGCCCACACGTCCAGAGAGCCGGATGGAGCTCCTGGGGCCTGGCTTCTGCCTGGCCCAACCCAGGCTAGAGTGGGCATTCGGGGAGCAAAACAGCTGGTGGGAGATCTCCCTGTGTCTCCCTCTGCTTTTGTGGGTGATGGGAGAGCCAGTATCCCCAGTCTGCTCTCACACTAGGATGCATTCCCGGGCAGGGATAAGAGCCCCCCCTCCTACAAATGCTGATAGTGGAGCCTGCCAGCCCCAGGGTTCCGGGGCAGGCCACACACCCTGGTGCCAACGGAACATTCAGGCTGGGCATTGGAATTCAGCCATGTCCCAGATGCACCTGCTATTACAGAAGACCCCCACAGATGAACAGAGCAGGGCTGCCCTCCTGGACAGCCCAGTGGAGGCTCCTGACACAGGCTGCGGGTAATTGGGGAAGGCTTCCTGGAGGAGGTGTGTAAACTGCAAACCTGAGAGTTGGGCAGTAGTGGAGGAGGGGCAGCGAGAGCTGTCCTGGCCCCTGTGGGGTCCCCAGCACCTGCCACAGCGTCTAGCACACAGCAGGTGCCTCCTGCACACCACAGCAGCACCTGGGGGAGACACTCCATAATTCCTTCAGCATTCATTGGATGCCAAACATGGCCGTGGGGATGCAGCCCTGAGCCAAGATCCCTGGCCTGTGGCTTTTGTACATACAGTGGTGGTGGCAAGCCTTGCAAAGCATCCTGCTACGGGCTGGCAGGGTAAGAGAGGATGGGCAGGGTAAGGCCAGGGGCAGCATTGGAGGGAAGTGGTGTCCAGGAGAGCAGGAAGTAGCATGGGCACTGTGTGGTTGAGGTTGCAACATCAGAGAGACCAGTGACTGCCCCCTGGGCAGTTGACAAGGCTCCTGCCTGGCGTGACCCTGTTGAAGCTGTCTGGGTGGAATGAGACGCGTCCCGGCCCACCCTGCCCCAGCTGTCCCCGTAAGCAGAGCGCTGTCTGTTGCCCTACTGGCTATGACACAAGGGGTCCCCCTCTGCAGAGAGCCCACCTCTCACCACCCCACAGCAGGGCTCATCTTTCCTGCCCCAGGTCTACTCTGTCCCCTTGGTCTCTGCTGTGACAGGTGGACAAGGCAAAGACACGCGGAGGTCTACCACGGGGACTCGGACCCAGGCCCTTCCCATCGGGGCTGAGGGAGCAAGTACCTTGACCACTGCCCCCAAGCACTGGGCTCAGGGCAAGGGCTGTGCCAAACCAGGACAGCAGGCAACACGATGCACACCCCAGGAGGTAGCCAGGAGTTCAGGCCCCCTGCACCCACATAGATGAAGACCTGACTTTGGCCTGGCCGTTGTGGCCATTTGGGGAGTGACCCAGCAGATGGAAGATCTCTCTTCTCTCTCCCTGTAACTGCCTTTCAGATAAATAAGTCTGAGAGAGAAAGAGAGAGCAGGCATGCACCGTGTACAGTGCTCTCAAATCCCCCACTCCCCTGTGGGTTTTTCCTGGTTTAGAACCAGAACTAAGCGGAACTAGAGAATGAGACTTCTGGCCACTCCCATCTTATGGAAGGAAAAACCGAGGTCTAAGACGAATGGCAGCCCCTAAAGGGGTTTGGCAGCAGGGAGGGCTGGAGTTGAAGGGGTGGCGGGGCTGGGAGGTAGGCCCTGCTGGGGGTAGACAGGTGGGCAGGCAGATGGTTGAATGGTGTTAGTTTGCCTTCCCCGGGGAGTTGTTCAACAAAAGCCCAACTCGACTTCCAACTCCTGGCCACTGGTTTGTAAGGAAATCTGAGAAGGGCAGGTGGCGGGCGGATGGGAGCCCAGCACATGGAGGATGGCAGAGGGAAGGATGGAGTTGGGAAGTCTTCACCACTTCATCCCCTGGCCGCCTCCCACCTGCTGGTCCCGCCCCCAGGGCTGCTGGCCTGCACAGCCTCTGGGTCAGGCAAGGGGGTCCCCTTTCTCGCCCCAGGATTTTGTGCAGAGATGGGATTTAATTAGAACTCTGCTTTAGCAAAACACAGTGTGACAGGGCTCGGGTCACCTCCGACGGGCACCGTGCAGCTGCGTGACTTCTGATGGCTCCACAAAGCGTGAAGCTGGCTGGGGTCACATTGCGTGGGTGGTCTCTCCCTCTCTCTCCCTTGGACTCTCTCTCTCTCCTTGTCTCTCTCTCTCTCTACAGTCATTACACTGACTCACCTACCCCGTTCCACACCGAGTCTAGTACAACACGGGTGGGTGGGGGAACTGGCTGGATGATGGCTTCTGCAACTGCCTCCCGCCCCTCGGGGCTCCTTTATGGAACAGGGATCCTAAGGGCCCAGCTGCAGGCAGTGAAGGCGCCCGTCCCACAGCGCCTGGGTTCCAGTCCAGTGTGGGCTCCCTGCTGATGCGTGCCCTGGGAGGCTGCAGAGGATTAGAGCTCAAGTGATTTGCAACTGCCATCTGGACCAGGAGCCAGGAGCTCCATCGGGGTCTCTCACGTGGGTGCAGGGGTCCAAGGACCTTGAGCCCCCACCTGCTGACCCCAGGGTGTACAGCGGCAAGGAGCTGGGGTCACACTCTGAGCCAGGACTCCTTGGCTGTGACATGGGATATGTGTGGGTCCCAAGGGTGGCTTAACGGCTCGCGCCCCCCAGGCCAAGTCCAGCCCCTAGGTGCGAAGTTAGCCTGTCCTCCAGACACACACACAACTCCCTCCCTCTTCTCTGGCTGACCTGGCTACCAGGTCCCTCCCCCCATCACTGGCCTGGAGCCTTCCCATCTGCCCCATACCCTGCAGTGGGCGCCATGTCTCACTGAGTCCCAGAAAGAAACTCTGGACCAGGGTTCTCAGTGTGTGGGTAGGGGAGACCCCCAGGAGAGCCGGTGGTAGGTAGCTAAATGAGTGGGAGGAGGGGCGCGGGCTGCAGGCCCAGCAGGTGTTGGGCCACAGGGGCCTGACGTGGGGAAGGAAGGGACCTTGGAGGTCCCACATGGCCCCAGACTTACCTCCGTCTTCTTAAACCGCGCCCGGAGGGTTTTCATCGCCAGTGTCCTATGCCGTGGCTCCTCTCTGCCGGCCACCTTCGGGGAGAGGGATGGGCAAGGGTGGGGTGGGGTGTGCAGGACGGTTCTGGCTGCCGCCCTCCCTGCCACCCCACACTTCTTTCATCTTTTGTCTGCCTACTGTGTGGTCTGGGCCACTTGTCATGTCTGAGTTTTGCCTCTTGCATCCACAGGGAAAGGAGATGATCTTGACAGCCAACAGCGTGTGGCTTTGCTAGCTGACTCCTACTGATCCTGCACAGCCCAGTCCCAAATGCCCCCTGTGCTGGTCAGCACCATTCCTGGGCAACCCGATCCAGGGCTGAGGCCTGTGTGAGTAGAGTTTTGGGGCTATGCGAAACGAAGCCCTCATCAGCCCCACGTAAGAGCAGCAGGAGGCGGTACCCTATCTGCCCAGCGTCCATCTCCATGTGCTCCGCGGAAGCTGGGCACGTACAAGGCCACCGGGGGGTACTGAACTCAGAGCACCTTGAACCCACAGGGGTCACCAGGAAGGAACATCCTCGCCGGCCCACCTGCCTCACTCGGGCCACACACTCAGCCGGGCGTGTGTCCAGCCATCCCAGACAACCAATACCAGCCCCTCTCGGTCGCACACCCCCCCATTCCACCACTGTTCCCTCTCTGCTTTTCCCTTCTACCGCAAACTGGGGACTCAGTCACACTGACAGTGTGGGCAGATATGAACCCAAGGACTTAGGGGACAGGAACACGTCTTCCACATGCCCAGAAGAGGCCTGGCTGCCAGGGTGCGGAGGGCAGACGGCAAGGGACCAGGCAGGTGCATGCCATGGGGAGGTGCCTGAGGAACTGCTTGTGCCCGGGACCTGCCACCTGCCTCCCCCAAATGGAGCCTCCATCCCTGGCCACCCCATTACCCCCTTCTCTCCTACCTCCTGCGGCTCCAGTGCCCCTAATCACCAGGCTGCTGTGCGTGCTTGCGTGCGTGTCCACGGCTGGCTGGCTCGGGTTACCTACTCCCAGCTGGACCTGCAGCTCTCAGCAGCGGCTCCGAGAGCCCAGCCCGGACACCTGATCAGCTCTGAGCTGGGTGTCCGCCCCCCAGGGGGACTGGGCTGAGCTGAGGGAGGAGATGGGGCTGGCAGACAGACTGTCTGTTGGCCCTGGGGTTCCGGTGGGCAGACACCTCCTATCAGGCTGTGTGGATTTCATTTCTGGAAGGAGCCCCAAACGGCCCTCCTCTCCTCCCAGCCCTGACACCATAGCAGCTCCCTCCCTCTCCCTGTCCTGGCTCATTCCCTTCCTCCAGGGACCCCTCCTGGGTGCCTCGGGGTGGGGAGGCAGGGTCAGGTGTCTCTTTGGACATCCCTAAGGACCTAAGTACCTTCTCCTCTTCCTTTGCACCCCGATTGTCAAGAGACTTGGGATGATGGTGTCTATGCACACAGGAGGCGCTCCATAAAGCAGGGCCCCAAGGCCTGCAGCCCCCCAGGATCTGGCACAGGAGCCGTGCCGCTCATGGCAACCAGGATCTGTCAAGCCAGCGAATGTTGAGGTAACTTGAGACGCCAGGACTCTGCTTGGCACGAGTGCCCTGGGTAGGTCTTCATGAAGCTCACTGAGCTGTACAAAGGGGGAAAGAGGTTCGTGCTTCTTCATCTTAGGGGGGCCCTCTCACGTGAGCAGCCCCTTCCTCGCCACCCGGGCCGTAAAAGGTGTACAAGAAGTCAGCGTCTGACAGGAGTTAAGATGGCGCCCACGGCTTCAGCACTAGGCGCATGCGCCTCGGCAGACGAGTCCGGGCGTCAGGGGCGTAAGGGCAGCTCCTCCTTCGGCTTGCCCATCCCACCCCGTTTCCGCCGGAAGAGACCTCAACAAGGGAAACTTTATTGTTCCCGCAGAGAAGGGGGGCGGCCGGGATGTCGGTCAACTACGCGGCGGGACTGTCGCCGTACGCGGACAAGGGCAAGTGCGGCCTCCCCGAGGTGAGCGTGGGATCCCCCCTCCCCGAGCCAGGGGGGCGACCCCTCCGCGAACTGCCCCTGGAAGCTGCGGGTGATGGACAAGGGCTGGGAAGGTCCCGGTGCATTCCACCTCCTGGGCTCGCCAGGGAGCGAGGTGGACACGGGGCGTGGAAGGGAGGCCCGTGGGGGACGAGGTGGGGTCCAGGCAGCTGGGGTCCATGCAGGGCCAGTCCATCCCTGGCCAGTGGCCTTGCACCTGCTCGGGGTCAGGCGGGGCATGGAAGGGAGACCCGTGGGGTCCATGCAGGGCCAGTCCATCCCTGGCCAGTGGCCTTGCACCTGCTCGGGGTCATTGTGGAGGGAGGCACTTTTGTAGCCACCACCACCAGCACCCCCCATTCTGAGGCCTGGCTCCCCCCCCGACAGATCTTCGACCCCCCTGAGGAGCTGGAGAGGAAGGTGTGGGAGCTGACCAGGCTCATCTCGCAGGCCTCCAGCGTGGTGGTGCACACAGGCGCCGGCATCAGCACGGCCTCGGGTATCCCCGACTTCAGGTCAGTCACCCCCAGGGGGGGAAGCATGGAGGCAGAGCCTGGCTGAGCAGCACCCCCACCCCGCCCCATCCACCTAACTACCTTCCTTCCGACCCCACCGCTCAGACCTCCATCCTACAGACTCTTGATTTACTCTGAGTTCCCTGAATGTCACACACAGATCTGGCTCACGTGGGCCTAGCTAGCTGCAAGGGAGTCTAAGAAGTGTCCTCTTTGCTCTGGCTGCCTGGCTTGGGTCCGCTCGGGGCCCACCCCTCATCACCAAGCTTAGGATGTCCTTGCTGGTCACTGCTCCCAGCTACCCCCTCCCCACAATTCTCTAATTTCCTGTCCCCTGTTCTCAGGGGTCCCCAAGGGGTCTGGACCATGGAGGAACGGGGCCTGGCGCCCAAATTCGACACCACCTTCGAGAGTGCCAAGCCCACACAGACGCACATGGCGTTGGTGCAGCTGGAACGCGTGGGTCTCCTGCGCTTCCTGGTCAGCCAAAACGTGGATGGGCTGCATGTGCGCTCTGGCTTTCCCAGGTACCGTATGACTGCCCGGCTGCCCTTCCCTGCCTCCTGGGGGGTTTGCAAAAGCCGAGAGAGAGATCTCCCATCTGCTGGTTCACTCCCCAAATGCCCACAGGAGCCAGGGCTGGGTCAGGTAGAAACCAACAGCTGGCAGCTCCATCCAGTCGCCCACCTAGGTAACAGGGAGGCCTAGCAAATGTGGTGTCCTAGGGTGGACAGCAGGAGGGAGCTGGGGTCGGGGCTCCCCTCCAGGTGCCCTCCAGGTTGCATCCTCACTTGCTGAGGCATGGACCACCTGTTGGGGAGCCATATGCAGTCCAGCTCAGGGGCCAGGTGGACAGGAAGCCCGGCCTGCTATGGGTCTCCACACTGACGCCAGCCCAACCCAGCCAAGCCTAAACTGTCACCTGGAGGCAGGAGCGTGGTGGTGAAGGACTGAGTAGGTGCCTGCTTCCACGGCCATGAGAATGCTTCACACAGGCGTCCCATCCTGTGCTGGTGCTTGAGGCATGCATGGAGAGGGGCAGAGGGCTACCTTGGCTTGGTCGGTCCCCCGTCTTCAACACTCATGTTCCGGGCCAGCCACCGCCCTGCCGCCAACCGGAAATCTCAACTTCTGCCTCTTTGGCTTGCTGCCCTCCAGAGGCTCCTGCACCTGCCAGGAACAAGGGCGTTGGGCACACGGATGGGCCCAACCTTTCCAGAGGTGGGGTCAGCCGCCACGGGACGACAGGGTTCCAGGGCCCAGGGAGGTGGGACTTCCCCACAGCATAGATGGAGCAGGCAGGAACGGCGTTGGGGGGGCAGGGTGGGCGTGTTAGGTGTTGGCATGGATGAGAAGTGCAGGAAGCCCTCCTGGGGAAGGAGAGCTTGGTGCCAGGGTGCAGGCCTGGGGGTCTGTGTACCCCACCACTGAGCCTCCACTTCCTCCTGCCTCTCCACCCTTCCCCCGCTGCAGGGACAAGCTGGCGGAACTTCACGGAAACATGTTTGTGGAAGAATGCACGAAGTGTAAGACGTGAGTCATGGGGACGGGAAGGGAGTCCCCAGGAGGGGAGACGGGCACCCCGAGAACCGGGGGTGGCTGTATTTGTCCTGCTTGGGTATCTGTTCCCCAAGGCTAACTCCCCCACTTCTGGGCCAGCATCCAGCCAACTCCTTGTTGGTCGATGAGGTCACGTGGCCCAGCAAAACGCACCCCAGAGGGACAGTGAGGTGGGGGCAGAGTCTGACAGGCCTGGTCCCCGCTTCTCCCTGCAGTCAGTACGTGAGGGATACCGTGGTGGGCAGCATGGGCCTCAAGCCCACTGGTCGGCTCTGCACCGTGGCCAAAGCCCGGGGGCTGCGGGCCTGCAGGTGAGCGCCCCCCTGCTCCTCCAACCCACTTCCTCCCTGCCCCCCGCCCCCGTGTGGGTCTCCCACACCCTGTATCTTGCAGGGGCGAGCTGCGAGACACCATCTTGGACTGGGAAGATTCCCTGCCCGATCGGGACCTGGCTCTCGCTGATGAGGCCAGCAGGTAGATCCGCAGTTGGGGGGTTTCCCCAGAATAAAGGGGGAGGGAAGGTGTCAGACCTTAGAGTGAAGTCAGGGAGGGCTTCCAGGAGGAGGTGTCAGGGGCTCACCCTGCACCCCACATCCCTGGCCCCCAGGAACGCGGACTTGTCCATCACACTGGGTACTTCGCTGCAGATCAAGCCCAGCGGGAACCTGCCCCTGGCCACCAAGCGTCGCGGGGGGCGGCTGGTCATCGTCAACCTGCAGCCCACCAAGCACGTAGGTCACTGTCACCCCTGCCCTCCTCACTCAGCCCAGGGATCCCCGCTCCGCCCTGCCTTACCCCTACATGCCCCACTGGCCACCATCTCACCCTGCCTCACCCCTGTACAGCCCACCCTTCCCGGGGGAGACCCTGGCTGCTGCTCCTGCCCCTTCTAGGGGTCCCCCAGCCACTGCCCCGCTCCACTTCACTCCTGTGTGCTCTGCCCCTCCCCTCTCCTCCCATTATCCCACCCTGCCTCACCCCTGTACAGCCCACCCCTCCCTGGGGTATCCTGGCTACTGCCCTGCTTCACATCTCTATAACTCGCTTCTGTGAGGGCTCCCCAGGACCTCCTGGCTGCCATTTTGCCCTGCCTCTCTTGTGTACTCCATCCCTGCCCAGCCTCACCCCTGTACACCCCACCCCGTCCCCACCTCATCCCGGCTTACCCTGTGCAGCCCCACCACTCTCCCACCCTACCTGTATTCACCCCACCCCTCCCCACCTCACCCCTGTGCACCCCACCCCTGCTTGGCCTCACCCCTGTGCACACTGTCCCCGCCCCAGCCCCGCCCCATCTCACCCCTGCACACCCCACAGGACCGCCACGCTGACCTGCGCATCCACGGCTATGTAGACGAGGTCATGACACAACTCATGAAGCACTTGGGACTGCAGATCCCCACCTGGGAGGGACCCTGCGTGCTGGAGCGGGCGCTGCCACCCCTGCCCCGGCCGCCCGCCCCCACACTCCCACCCTGCTCTCAGCTCAACGGTGCCGCCCCGGTCCCCAAGCAGGAAGACTACGAGGAGAAACCCGGGCCCCACCACGACAGTCCCAAGCGGGAGGCGCCTGCCAGCCCCGCCCCCAGCAGGCCCCCTAAAAGAGTGAAGCCAGAGGCTGACCCCAGCTGATGGGGGCCTCGTGTGGGACCATCTATCTGAGGCCACATGCTGTGACTTGTGCTTGTCCCAGAGGACTCAGGGCACTGGGGCGGAGTGGAGGCTGGCCATGAGCGTTCTGGAAGGAGGCAAACCCTAAACAGGGAACAGGCACCCACCCACCCACTCCCAGCCCCCCTCCTCCACTCTTGGTCCATCTCCCCAAAGCGGCCATCAGGAGGGACACTCCCAGCGTGCAGGGAGACCCGGTGTGGACTCGCGTGGGCAGGATTGGCACCGCCTGTGGAGCTGTCTTTAACGCAATAAAAGCAGTACCACGTTCTGGTACCCGGCTGGACTTAGAGCCTTCTTGTTTGGTGCCAGGCCCTGGTCCTCAGGAGCCAGGGCTGGGGGGCTGTGAGGTGTGCCACCCAGTCAGGATTCCATGCTGTCATCTGGGTCTCTGAGGTCTGCTGTCCCCCGAGAGGCTGTAGGCCCCTGGCCTGGAGCTGGTACTGCCCCAGTTCCTGAGCCAGGTCACACTTGGGTGTGGTCCCATGGCATGGGCCTGAATCCCAGGACCACCGCCTCATTCCACCCTCTTCCCCACAGCCAGCTGTTAACAGTCCAGGTCTCCTGCAAGGAGCCGTTTTTTGCTTGTTTGTTTGTTAAGATTTTATTGGAAAGGCAGATATACAGAGGAAGATCTTCCATATGATGGTTCACTCCCCAAGTGGCTGCAACGGCTGGTGCTGAGCCAATCCGAAACCAGGAGCCAGGAGCTCTTCCAGGTCTCCCACATGGGTGCAGGGCCCCAAGGCTTTGGGCCGTCCTCCACTGCTTTCCCAGGCCACAGGCAGGGAGCTGGATGGGAAGCAGGGCTGCCGGGACTAAAACCAGCGCCCATATGGGATCCTGGCACATTCAAGGTGAGGACTTTAGCTGCTAAGCTATCGTGTCAGGCCCATGAGGGGCCAGTCTTCCTGTCCCTGTAACCTCCCAGTGTGGTATGCGGCAGCCAGACTGGGATTGGAACCCGGGCCGCTGTGATGTGGGATACAGGCAACTTCACCATCAGCCTGAGCCCCGCCCCGTTGGAAGGTTTCCTTGGGGACTCCAGTTGCCGCTGCCCCAGCAGGTGCACACAGCCTCGGGCCGCTCTCCAAGGTGCTGACGCTGCCCGTGATGTACACACAAGACCCCCCACCCAGGCATCCCAGTCACCGCTGCAAACCCCCCCACACCAGCTGCCATGTGGCAAAAGAAAAAAAACAATTTTTTAATTAAGGATCAAGGCGTCTTAGAAAAGGGGGTATGGGTGCGCCCTGAAGTCCAGCACTCGAGACTGGGGTCCCTGCCACCTGCACCCCAAGAAGGAAGTACCAGGGAGGATGGAGCAGGCTGGGGTCTCCGCTGTGCCCCCTACCCCACCCCGTGTCAGTCCCCCGCAGGCGCACCCTGGTGCTCCGTCCAGTCCGTGCTGCACCTCCTGGGTGCGCGGTGCTCACAGCTCTCCCCCTGCTGCCTCCAGCCCTGCGCGGCCCGCACTGCGCACAGGCTCGGGGGCCGCCCACTCCAGCAGGGTGGCCCGACGCAGCTCCTCCTGCGAGGCCCCCAGGACCAAGGTAGCATTGTCCAGCGGCCCCGTGGAGTTGCCCAGCACCTTTACGTTCTGGAAGTCCCAGTCCGGCCTGGGGTTACCTGGAGACCCTTGCTGGGGTGCGCTAGCCTCGTGCGGGGGTCCCGTGGCCTGGGAACCGCCCGGTGCAGTGTCGGGGGCCACGCGGGATGCAGCCTCATTGTGCAAAGTTCTAGAAAAGACTGCAGTGGGGGCGGGGTCAGGAGGCGCCTCAGGGAGAGGTGGGGGGACCGGACTTTTCTTTCCTGGGACAGGATGACTCCCACCCACCTCGCACAGGCGCAAAGTCTCCCGGGCTCTCGGCTTTGCTGGGGGTGGCGAAGGGGCTGAAGGAGGGCAGGATGACGAGGGCGAAGGATAACAGCAGGACCTGGGGCACAAGGGGTGGGGTCACCATCTGCTCTTCCCCCTGGCACGCTCATCTCACTGGAGGGGGGGACTGAGGCCCGCCCCTCCTCCCCAATGGCCTCACCGCGATGCAGGTGCCCGTCTGGGCCGACTTGCTGGTGGATTGCACCAAGGTGGCCTGCAGCTTCTTCAGTTGTTCCAGGAGGGACCTGGAAGGGGCAGAGAGGCCGCGCTGAGCGCCTGCCAGCCTTCCTCGGTCCTGCCTCCTGCCATGCCCCTTACTCCCCATTCCCTCTCTACTCACCTATCGGGGCCTCCAAGAGTGTTCTCTGAACCCAGGCCCCAACCCCTCCGTGGCTCCACGCTGCCATCCCTCCACCTCACTCCCTCACTCACTCTGCTCCAGCCACACTGGCTGCTTTTTTGTTTGCTCCAATTTGCCTACCTCCTGCCTGCCCCAGGACCTTGGCACAGGCCATCCTGGCTGAGCTCAAGGGACTACTGCCCCAGGTGGTTCCTCTGGGTCTTAACCAGGCCCCGTCCCCCTCTCCGACCCCCCTAGTCTCCCTCCCCCGCCCTTCCTATGCTCATGGTCCCTCCCATGGTGAACTTCATGCCTGTCAAAGCCCTCAGGCCACATTCCAATCCTCGTCGTCCGCCCCCCATTCCCCTATCCTCGCTGCCCCTTGTCCCTCCCCTGCCCTCTGCCCCAGCTGAACCCTGACTCACAGGTTCTGCTTTTCAAGGTGCAGGACCTTCCTCTGCAATTCCTGGTTCTGAGCGGCGCAAGCTGACATCCTGTGGCGGGGCGGGGGGAGCACACACAGGGTCACCCCAAGACAACCCCCTCCTCACCCAAAGCCAGACCAGGCAAGGCTACCTGGGACAGAAGAGCGGAGGTGCAGTGGGGAGGGAATGCAGCTAAAGCCACACCAAGAGGCAATAATCACAGCCTTTACAGGCAGGCTGGTGAGCCAGACACTGTTTAAAACGAGTGTGGGCAGGCAGTCCAGCGGCTGAGATGTCCAGGGCCTGGGATCGGGCCCCGGGTTGGGCTGCAGTTCCCACCCAACGATGCTTCAGCTGACCGGAGTCACGCTGCTTGCTGAGCCTAAGAGCCTGCCTGAGTCCCAGGTTCCAAGCTTGGCTCTGGCCACGGTGAGAACTTGGGTGAGTGACCCCATGAATAGAAGCTCTCTCTCTGACTCTCAAATAAATGTATCTAGCTATCTATTTTATTTATTTTAAAGCAGAATAAGCCTTGTTCCAACGGGTGGAGGGGAGAATGAAGGCTATGATAACATCCGAATGACAGAACAGGAAAAGGGCCCAGCACAGTAGCCTAGCAGCCAAATTCTTCACCTTGAAAGCACCAGGATCCCATATGGACACCGGTTCTAATCCTGGCAGCCCCACTTCGCATCCAGCTCCCTGCCTGTGGCCTGGGAAAGCAGTGGAGGACGGCCTAAAGCTTTGGGACCCTGCACCCGTGTGGGAGACCCGGAAAGAAATTCCTGGCTCCTGGCTTCGGATCGGCTCAGCACCAGCCGTTGCAGCCACTAGGGGAGTGAGTCATCGGACGGAAGATCTTCTTCTCTGTCCCTCTGCCTGCTGCCCGCTGCGAGCCAGGCATGGGCACCATGACGTCACTCACACCACCCTGACGTCAGCGCCCACCTACCGGGTTTCCAGACCGTCGATGTATTCTTTCTTCTTTTTCCTGCTCTCCTGGGCTGACTGCTTGTTGCGGATTTTACGACGGATTTTCTTCAGCACCCGCTCCTCATACTGCAGGGCACGAGGCAAGGGAACGGCTCCAACAGGCCGCACGCCCCTGGCCATCCTCCTCTCTCATCCTCCTCGCTCAGCTCCCGCTGCCCAAGGCCCCCTGACCAGCGGCCATGGCCCTGCCACCAGCTGGAGGCCAACTGTGGGGACAGCCAGCAGCCGGCCTGCAGGTGCAGGTGCGGTCACCTGCGGACAGCGAGCCCCACTACCCCCGATTCTAATGCTGCCCAGGTGCTTGACAGTGACTTGGTGGGGCAGGCTGGGCACACAGAAAGGCCCAGAACCTGGGTGTGCCCACACTCTCACCACCCGACATGCTGGACGTCCCTTCCTGGGGGGTGGGTGCGAGAGGCCCCCTAGAGATGAACCGCAGCCCAGGCTTTCATGGTGGGGGGTCGTGGCTCTGGGGCATCCAGAGGCCGGGATCCTGGGGCCACGTGGACAGGGGGCTGCAGGAGGAAGGGGAGCCGTGTGGCAGAGTCCTGGCCCACCTTGGTGAGGGGTAGCTGGGAGGGCAGCGTCACGCCTTCCTTGGCCAGCAGCTTCTTTTCGTCCTCGGTCAGCACGAGTTCCTGAGCGTGACCGGGGCCGGGTCGCGGCAAGTGGGGGACAGCCAGGGGGTGCTGCTGCTGAGACAGAGCAGGGTGAGCAAAGGTGATGAGCAGGGAGCAGGGCATGGACAGCCAGCCGCCTGGGAGCAACAGAAGCTAAGAAACCTGGGAGGGGGTGTCCGGAGCACTTAGGCTTAGCAATAGAGGACAGCCCAAATCCTAGGGACCCTGCACCCACACGGGAGACCCGGAGGAGGCTCGGGCTTCAGATTGGCTCAGCTCTGGCTGTTTGTGGCGGCCACTTGGGGAGTGAACCAGTAGATGGAGGATCTTTCACTTTGTCTCTCCTTCTCTCTGTAAATTTGCCTTTCAAATAAAGATAAATAAATTAACAAGATTGGGTATGGCACAGTAGCTAAAGTCCACACCTTGCAGACACTGGGATCCCATATGGGCCGTAGTTCATGTCCCAGCAGCCCTGCTTCCCATCCAGCTCCCTGGGAAAGCAGTGGAGGACGACCCAAAACCTTGGAGCCCAGCACCACGTGGGAGACCCTGAAGAGTCTCCTGGCTCCTGGCTTTGGACTGGCTCAACTCTAGCTGTTGCGGTCACTGGGGGAGTGAACCAGTGGATGGAAGATCTTCCTCTCTGTGTCTTTCCTACTCTCTTTAAATCTGCCTTTCCAATAAAAATAAATATTTTTAAAAAGATTTCTTTATTTAAAGCCATCCTTAGGGCGAGATACAGCTCACCCATTTGCTGGTTGACTCCCGCAATGGTTGTGGTAGCCAGGGCTGGGCCGGACCGAAGCCAGATGTCAGGTGTCTGTCTGGGTCTCCCCTGTGGGTGGCACAGCCCAAGCTCTTGGTGCATCTTCCATTGCTTTCCCAGGCACATCAACACGGAGCCGGATAAGGAGTGGAGCAACCAGAACTCAAACTAACACTGCTAGGGGATGTTGGTGTGCTGTGGGGTGGATTAACCTGCTACGCCACGGCACTGACCCTAGTAAGTATTTT